TATATGTAATTAGAAATTTTAATTAATAATAGTATTGAAAGCAAAAGAACAAGTTAAGAAGTACAGAAATAAGAAAGAAAACTAAAGTTATTGATGCAATATCCCATTGCAAAAAATGGAAATGAACAATGGCAGATTGACAAACAGGGTAACAAGAAAAAAAGAGATGATGGTGAGATGAGAGCTTAACGAAAGTTGGTGGGGAATATTGGGAGCACAATGCTGAAGATAGATAGAGATGGAGCTAGTAGAAGGAGGCCTATACTCTAAAAGAGGTCCTTGGAAAAAAAATATAATTATTTATGTAAAAAAAATTAAGTGTATTTTTATGTAACAAAGAAACAGGGGGCCAACGGACAGGATCCTTAACTGATGTTAAGTGATACCGCCGCCGATAGACACACACACATTGCCAGAGAGCTCGAAAGTGCGTTGCCGGCCTTAAGAATTGGTACGCTCTTTTCTTGAAGGACCCCAAGTCGAACAGGGCAACTGGTTTCATATAGTGGTGGTGCGCGGCAAAAATTGCAGCTTTATTTGGTATTTCGTATTCCACCAGCACCCTATAGCTGGTACCTATTTCTTATTTTATGATTACGCAGTCCTATCAGCCAAACAGACATAACCAAAAAATTAATATTTCTCAATACAAGAAAAAAATGTATTTTACTTACCCCAAGTTAGTCCAATCGAGGCCAGCAACGAAAAATAAAGTAACATTTTTGAATTCATACTCGTGGGCATAGACAGTATAAACAACTAAATATAAATTTTTGATATTTAAATTTCAATAGTTAATTATCATAATTTCTAGATCAATTGCTCTATTATTTTAATTACATATACATAAATTACTGTCTCAATGGTAATATATTTGTTAAAATTCTATTCAAGGGCAAATTTCTTTACTAATAAATAATAGTTAAAAAAAACTAGAACACACGCTTTACATAGAAAACTAAACTAAAAAACAGAAAATAAATTTTAATATATATTAATTAAGAATAATGTATTATTTTTTAATAAATATAAGTTATTAATAGTTTGAATAAGAAAAAAAGCGGGGGTGCTTTTCAAGATATTATCGAAATGATAATCCTTCTCATATCTGTCAATTAAATATTCATAACTATTGACACCATTTTCCATATGGAAAACACTTTATGATTAAATACAATTAGTCTGGCCATAAGTTCTGTTACAAATGAAAATGCATTTTTTTTCAACTTTTTAATTATTTTGAATTTAGAACACGTATATAATTTAAAAACTTCTTTCGATTTTGCGCTATTTCACGTATTTTTTAGTGTTCATTATAAAATTACAACATGGAAATAGGATTGCAGTGATCGCCTTGCACAAAGTGGGTATAGAGCCGTCGGTCATATTCCAGACACTTCAAAAACTTATTACCAAAGCCGCGAAGATCGAATGAGGACTAAACCAGCTAGTTATCGCGACCGCGTACACTGCTGTTATTAAACCAATCGTAATGTAAGCGGACGCGGTGTGGGCTCCCGCGACAAAATAAAATCTGTGTACGGAAAAAAACTAAACCATCTGAACATGGGCTTTGCCCATAAAATTGCAAAAAATTATAGGATGACATCGTTACACGCAGCACTGGCCGGTATAATTCAGCGGCTTCTGGAATACGGACCTCCGTATTCCAGAAGCCGCTGCCTTATACGAAGAACGGCGAAGAATTAGAGAGGAGAGTGCAATATGTAAATCTCCCACACCCGGCGAAACAAATGAAACTGGACTACAATATGATTACCAATCCGGAAATCGGATGACACGGCAGCACACAAATCTATATGGACGGCAGCAAAACAAGTATAGGAGTGGGCACGCGCCGCTTGGACGGAATGGAAAGATGGAATGGAAATAAATCATTTATTCAAGCCGAATTAACGGCACTACGAAACGCGACTAACCACCTAAATAAAAATAAGCGTGAGACTAAAATATACAGTGACTCTAGGTCAGCATTAGATGCTATTGTGAGTGGACCATAGCATAGGAGCAAAAGAGGAACTCATGTAAGCCTCTTCTGGGTAAAGGCGCACGTTGGTACGCCAGGAAACGAGAGGGCGGACACAAAATAGCGGTGGAAAAACTAAGGTTATTTTTTTTTTATGTAATAGGAGGCAAACGGGCCGGCGGCTCACCTGACGTTAAGTGATACCGCCGCCCATGGACACTCACAAAGCCAGAAGGCTCGCAAATGCGTTGCCGGCCTTTCAAGAATTGGTACGCTCTTTTCTTGAAGGACCCTAAGTCGAATTGGTTCGGAAATACTTCAGTGGGCAGCTGGTTCCACATAGTGGTGGTGCGCGGCAAAAACTGCCTTGAAAAACGCTCAGTTGTGGAACGGCGGACGTCGAGGTGATACGGATGGTATTTTGTATTTTGCCTTGACGTCCGATGATGAAACTCAGCTGCAGGTATTAGACCGAACAACTCCTCTGAACACTCTCCATGGTAAATGCGGTAGAACAGTGCCGAGTGTGTACAGGTACCGGAAAAGGCGCGTTGGGACCGGAGCCAACTCAGGAGCACAAGTAAGCAGCACAATTGGGGGGATGCCATCAGGCCCGCTCGACTAATGGATGTCCAAGGAAGACAAAGCTTTACGGATAGCACGTTGCCGGAATATAACTTCGGGCATCGTAGTATCAATCCGCAATAATGTCGGTGGTTCCTTCCCTTGATCATCCAAAGTAGAGTTCGACGCAAAGAGACAGCCTAGAAGATCGGCCTTCTCTTTCGCGGTATGGGCCAGTAAGTCATCCTCCCTATGCAGTGGTGGAATTGAGGGCTGACAGAAATTCCCTTGGACAGCTTTGGCAAGAGACCAGAAGGCTCGAGTTCCCGAAGGGAGGCGGGCCAATTTCTCACCAAATCTGGCAATGTGCTCTGACTTTGCTTTAGCGATTTCCCGCTTGAAGGACCTGGAGGCTGAATTGTATGCTTTTTTACGTTCGCCGATAGTGACATCACAGGATGTCACCGCTTCTGCCCAGGCTTTAAAGCATTCACGCTTACGACGCAAAGCCGCTTTGCAAGAACGCCTAAACCAAGGCTGGGACTTGCCACCGACCGGCACCGCAGAGAATGTAATAAAAAGTTCCATACCCTGCAGGACCACCTCGGCGACAGAGTCAACGACGGCATCTGGAGTACTCGATGAAAAGCAAATGGGCCCCCAAGGGTAGGACGCAAAAAAAGACCGCATCCCATCCCAATCTGCTGACTTATAGTGCCACACGCGGCGACAGCCCGCGAAGCTGGGCCGTACAGGGCGCGTGAACGGCACAATGCTCCGGACCACACAATGATCTGATGAACCCAATGGTGGATCAACAGAGACTTGGTAGTTCTCCGGATGTGAAGTCAGCAGAAGGTCCAACAAAGAGGGTTTATGACCATCCACATCTGGTATTCGCGTAATCGCAGGGACCATTTGCGTCAAGTCGGAAGTTATAGCAAAGTCGTGAAAGGATCTTCCCGCATGATCGGTGGTTTCTGAGCCGAGCCAATCGGCATGGTGGGCGTTAAAATCGCCAAGTATCACGATTTCAGCGGTAGGAACCCTTTCGAGCAGGGAATCTGTAGCCATTTGGATGTGCTCAATGAGTCGGTCAGTTTCGGTATTTCCGCTATGGGACCTATACAGGCATGCGTAGAATCGCGGATGGTCATCGCAGTCTACGCGCAGCCAGAGATTAGATAGGTCCCTTCCTTCAAGCGTCCTGAGGCGACGAGAACAGATATCCTCTCTGACGTACACGCAAACTCCAGCCCGCGGCACAAATGTATGTTCCAATTTGTACCCCGGGTAGGAGAGGGAGGATATCTGAGTCTCGGTAAGAAAGAGCAAGGCCGGCTTCGCAGTCTCTAAATGATAGTGGACAGGATGTCCACGGCGAGTGTGGACGGGGGTGCCTTTGTTGAATTGCTCCGTTTGCCCCGAGAACGATAACTGATTTTGTTGAGGGCAGAATTGCCCCCCCCCAGAATACGAAGGGCAGCCTGTGCGTCCACCACCGGGTGCTGAGTGTCCCGGTGTTGGACGCCCAGAGGGGGATTCTCCACCGCGAGCGCGTGTGGTACCCCCCTGGGGTAGATTCTGTTTTTCTGCATCCGGGAATCTCTCTCACCGCGAGTACAATAAGGCGAACCTATTGCATCACTTCACGCCGGTTTTCTGAGAGACAGTGGTACTGCCCCGGTCGTGCCTGCCCATTTGGCTGAAGCCCGAAGGCAACAGCATGGCACTCCCACTAAAAACCTTAATACGCCGTACGCCCCCTGTTATATATTAAACGTCCGCGTGCTGTTAGAACTACAAAGACTATTAATGCTAGACTTTGTCGACACCCCATTAGGAGAAATGAAGATTCCCGCTAAGACTCTGTCGCGTATTATAAACAAGACCTGAAGCTCGGTGCTTATCGGTGATATACCGGACATGCCCTAAATCAATCTTTATAATTAAAGAGAGTGTGTTGGTGCATAGTGCCTAAACATATTTAATAGCGAATGCGCAGCAGATATGACTACAGGCGGAACGAGGCGTTTTATAAACATACTTGTTACATTGTCATTCTGCTTACACCACTGTTCAAGAAACTGGTATTTATTTTATAATCTTTTTTTTCTAAGAAAAAAATTATTTTTAACTTTCACTTTATCCTGCATTAGCATTGGTCGTTCGAGCACGGATAATAATTAAAAATAAGGAATTAATAACTTCAACCCAGGTCAGTGTAGGTTATCAAGAAAAGGATTTGTACAGGAGTATGTACAGTTCTTCTTACCCGGTCTACGTCCTTGACTTGCGAACTGGTAGTAAATGTAAATTTACAATTAATTTAACTTATTTCTGTCAATTCATAGGTGTACTTGTTTACCTACATGAATAAAGATATTTTGAGTTTGAGTTTTGAGTTTGTCGTGAGTCGTTCTAGGATTTAGCTGCTGGCTCTGCAAACATGTCTGAAAATACTGAAGTAGCTGACCTTATTAAAAAGCGCAGCAATTATACAGGTCAAGTTCCCATTTTCAACGGGTTTATATCTTCATTTGAAACGCCATCACCTCCCGATTGTGAGGAGTTGGAATTAATAAGTTCGATGAGGTGCAAACCCGATTGGAATGTTTACAGGACGATGAGAGTCAGGTGTTTGAGGAAGGTGAGGAATTTGAAAATAGAAATTATAAGGCATCAGGTAATGCACAGAAAATTCTTTAAAATTAGAAAAAATCTCACATTCCTCAATTGCCCACGATCCAAATACCAAAATTAAATAGTTTAATAAATAATTGGTTGGAGTTTAGTTTACACTTTTACCAGTAGTATTATCGTGAGTGGGACAAAAAAATCGTTACATGCTTCACCATGAGGTTTTGCTGGTGATGGCATAGGTGTTTGTCCCTTATTGTCAACAGCCGAGGTAATTGATTGTGGGAAAGGTGATAGATCTGATATCAAGGTATTTAAAGGGCTTAAAGCTGAGCTGATATCTAAGGACACGGCATGCAGATTTTCTGACGAGAGTAAATCTGGTGAAGACGCATTTTGATATCCGACCATAAAAGAAACTTCTCAAAGAAAATTACATTTAATTATTCCTTGTAAATCGTCTGCAAAGACGTCGCATAAATTTATTGAATGTTTTCTTTTAGATGGCGACTGGAGGTAATCGCATTCTATGGCATTCTGAAAACGTATCAGTGTGTAAAATTCTTAATATCACAAGTCAACGTTTACCTCTAAGGTGATTTATAAAAATATTCCAAACTACACGATTAATTAAATTTATACACGAAGAACATTATTCAGGTAGAATTATTATTTTATAAAATAAAATTATTAAATATATACATCATAGTTTTTCAGTAGAAAAAAGTTGGAACTGAATTTAGTACAAAGAACAAAGTGGGATGGTCAGATACGACTATTACATAAAAGAGCATGTTCGTTGAATAACGTCGGTTGCGATCACGCAGCAGCCAGCCGGTTTCCTCACGATGTTTTCGAATACGCTACGGACTTTCTTTCTATGTGTGCATTGCCTTAGACCCAAGAAGTCGACGTGTGGCAAGCACAGGAGGCCGATCACCTACTCGCCTACTAGATTGACAAATGATCATGAAACAGATACAGAAATCTGAGGCCTAGACCTAAAACCGTTGTTGCGCCTCTGATTTATTTGTTTTTATTTTTTAATCGTGTCATACAAAAACTACGAAATCGTCAGCAGGCTCACCTGTTAGTCTTCCTGTCAACTTTTTGGTATTATTTTTAGGTATACTCACAGCAGTCGTAAGATCAATGAAATTGTCCTCCGGCGGAGACTCTTACGAAATAGAAACAATAGAAAATCATCCAGATTACGACCCAAAAACCATAAAACACGATATTTCCTTACTAAAAGTGAAAGGCACCATAAAATTCGGCGATAATGTGCAAACGATAGAACTACCTTCCAGTGACATTGGTGTTGGAGAGGTGTGCACTGTCACCGGATGGGGTGACACTGACGTATGTACATATATATTTTGCAATAATTTTACAAAGAACACCTTTAGACTCTGTCAATAAAATCGTATTATGAGGATTTATTAGCTAACTGTAACTTAAACAACTATATGTTTAACGAACCTGTATCTTAATTTAAAAAAATTAAATAACTCTCTCCATAGTAGCTTATCATTTTAAAAAGTCTCACTACTACACGCAATACTCGTCGAGCGAGTTTGCTTATCTTGCCGAAGCCGCGTGCAAATTATTTGAAGAAGTCTATTAAATATGAGGGTGTGCAATAACATAATCAATTACTGTCTAAAATTCGTAATATTAGCGTGTTTAATCAATTCAAATGGGCATTAAAGATACATATTAGAATGAGCCTTAAGCCAAACGTCCACCGCCGGCTAAACTAAATGAAAACTAAACTCAGTGAACTAAGCTAATCTAAACTAGAACTAATATAGACTAAAATCGGGAAAGCTGATGGCGACGTGAATCTCGTTCGTATATTATATGAAGTTTCTCATGTAAATAAAAAATATATTTTTTTTAAGGTGAAAAAAAGTTCTTTAAACATTAACTGTTCTATTTATGCATGAGAATGATGCATAACTATAATAATTATTTAAAGATTTATTATTTATTTTGGCCTGTCATGCCAAAAAAGTGCAGGCCGCTTCTCGAGACATGCCGCACTTAACGATATCATACGCCGGTCACCTGCCACCGTCAACATTCCAAGTCTACTTGAGCCAAGTGTTCGTATTGCAAGAAACTATGGCAAAAGACCGTACGGTATGAGTTTGATTCCATGGAAGATGGTGATGATGAGATGATGATTCCGTGTACTGGTATAGGATGCAACCTGTTCAGACACGCTGGCCCCTTCCCATCTACATGGAACCAACAACAGAGCTGGTGCGGCTTGTTAAGCGGCTGAAAAAGCTAAAGCATGCAAATACAGGGGTCTAGGCTCAGAATATGATTTTGTCCCATTCGGTGTCCCTTGGTCCGTGGGGTCCTAGCGCTTTAAGGCTTTTTAAAGAAATATCAAAAAGGTTAGTTGACATCACAGGAGACCGAAGATCTGGCAGCTACCTCGGACAAAGATTTAGTCTAGCTATTCAAAGGGGGATCGCTGCCAGTATCTTCGGAACCTTGCCTAAAGGGAAGCTCCTTTTAATAATATATTTTAGTTATTATATGTTAAGGTTAGTTAAGTGTCGATCTTCGTATTAGACTTTGTGAAAGCATTGTGCTCTCAAAACTTAACTACGCTCTTCCGGTGTACGGGCCTCGTCTAACTGCTAAAGCACCACGCTTGATTCAAAGGGTACAAAATGCATGCCCGGTTCTGTGTTACCATACCACCTAGCTCACATGTCACCCCGTATTTGAACAACCTAAACTTTCTTACAATGAAAGGTCGACAAAAATTGTATTTGGCATGTTAGTTATTTGATGTAGTAAATACTGAACAACCTGAGTATTTGTACAAAAAGCTCCTCTGGCGTAGTAATGCCAACAAGCACCAAGTAAGGAGTTGTACTCAGGAGCTCGCCAAACCTCTGTTTGGCCTCAACGTAAAACCGAGCTTAATTATATGTATATTAAATTGCATTTGTTTTAACTTTGCAGGGAGACTCGGGTGGGCCTCTAGTGAAATACAAAAAGCAGGTGGGTATCATCTCTTGGGGTGCTCCGTGCGCTGTGGGCGTTCCTCACGTTTTCACGAGAGTATATACGTGGACTGGATTAAGAAGAACATTGGAAAGTAGAATAAAAAAACTTTTGTTTTTTTCTTGTATATCGTTAATGTGTTTCTTTTTCATTTCAAGGTAGTCTCTTAATCATTAAAAATTTCCATTTACTTAACAATCAATTTAAATTTTCAATTGTATTGGAAATTATTACTTATTGTAATGTATGACGTCAAAGAAATGTAATTACCGAAACACAAATGAGATATTAATTTTCTTTAAATATAAAAAAAAACTAACAATTACATTAATGTGATGAACTACCTACCGTAATATGTTCTTTGTAGGAAAGTCATAATATTTTAACTAAGAATTAAATTTACCGGTTAAAAGGTATTAATAACAGAGTAGACCTAGTGGCTTCAGCGTGCGAATCTCATCCCCGAGATCCCATCACCTACTGTAGGTTCGGTCCCCGGTTGTGCACAAATGGACTTTATTTGTATGTGAGCATTTAACATTCGCTCGAATGATGAAGGAAAATATCGTGAGGAAACCGGCTTGCCTTAGACTAAGACGTGTGAGGCACAGGAGGCTGATCGGCTGCTTGCTTATTAGATTGACAAATGATCATAAAACAGACATCTGAGATCCAGACAAAAAGCAGCAGTTAGCAGTTTTCATCGTGTTTAAACAATTGGTTTTCAAAAACTACCCGAGATCTTGATTAAGGATCAAATTCAAAATCATTTATACATTTAGGTAACACAATGTACACTTATGAACGTCAAAAAAGAAATATATATTAAATGCTTCTAATTTTACATTTACTGCCAGTTCTCAAATCAAGAGCTTAGAACGGACGAGAAGAAATGGCTATAACCTCTCCGCCACTCTTTTTAATCGCTAAGCCTTTTGTTTTACAAAATGTTTGTAAGGAGCTGCAACCATTACACCATGTTTCTACTCCCATACATAAGCTTTAATCAAGTATAGAACGAACTCAGCTTCGGTTGATGTCACTAGCAGCACTGATATTCAGTAAAACATAATAAAAATAAAATATGTAAATTATGGAACATAAGATACTGGTATCACTTATTCCACGTCATTAAATTTGAATCGGTAGGCATCCCTACTCATCGGCAAGGAAGACAGAGAGAAGTCTTTTAAAATAGCTATTAATCATACAAAATGACTATGCCAAACAACATTTATTTTAAAACAAATATCGCATATTAATTAGAAGTAGCATGTCTAGTACTAGTCCCAGGCCTTTTATCAACTAGATAATTGTTAACTCTATAGTAAGCCTTTTTACACAGCTTTTCTTTAATTTATGAAAATGCTGAGATAAAAGAGCCTCTGAGATTTTATTAAAGAAAAGTATCCCCTTTCCCAAAAAAGAAACACTAACATTATAATTTATATAGTCATCTCGAGTCGAGATTGCATTCCTAGGGAATTATTAAAGCTGTGCTAAAAGTTCGTCGGCTGAAACATGGATGGCGCTACTGGAAATTAATATGATTTTTAGTTAGACCTAACCTTCAAAAGACACGTGCACAATTTTGCGTTGAAGAAGAGGTAATCGCCCAAACTGAAGCCTATTTTGAGGCTTAAGACAAATCGTACTATAACAATGGTATGGAAAACTTGTATGACCGTTTTAATCGTTGTATCGCTCTCAATGGCAACTATATTGAATTATCGAATCAAATTCTATCAAAAAACAATTTCTAGTAATAGCCTACGATTATTTCAGCCCACTTGTTATTTTATATAAAAAGGGTGCGTGTACTTATGTACGCGCGTAAGAAGTTATACTTCTTTGGCTTTCTTTATTTTTTTAAATAATTAATAATAAATATTTAACGTTATTTTTTTAATAATATTTAATATTTAGTATATTATTCAATTATTAATTAATATTAATAAGAATTATTATTTTATTATATTATTCATTCAATTTAATAACTAGGTATGTTTCATAACCTTTTAACTAAGTAACAATAGGTCTTTGTGAAAAAGCATTGCTAAATTTCTTTGAAAAAATAATTAAAACTCCTTTATTTGTTTAAAAGGTACTACAAAGGTCATTATGGTCATTCAAAATTCTTGGCATAGCTGCTAACTTCACGCATATTCTATTTCTTTTTACTTGTAGATTGTCTTATTCCCATCTCGCTCGCGCACGCTCGGCGCCCGGCTGGTTTAAAAATAATTCGTTAGTGGGCAACTTCATTCTGATAATTTTGTGTCACGGTGCGCGCGCATCGTAAAATTTCACTCTCATCAATTTTTCATAACGCGCCTAAAGAAGTATAACTTCAAAAACACAATTAATTTTTTACAAGGATTTATTATGCATTTCAATGATTTTCTATCTTATCTTTAATCCAAGAGACATAACTCCATACATCTGTGTTCACATCTGGGTAATAAAGATCGCAGTCCACACCCCAAGAAACAATTCCAACCAACTTGTTGTCTAGAACTAATGGTCCTCCAGAATCACCCTGGAAAACAAGTATTTTAATACACATGACTCTATCGCTCATGAAAATCTAACTACAAATACATCAACATCGACATATTATCGTTTTTTAAGGTAGCTTTTGCCACGCACCACCACTATGTGGAACCAGCTGCCCACTGAAGTATTTCAGAACCAATTCGACTGAGGGTCCTTCAAGAAGCGTACCAATTCTGAAATGGCCGGCAACGCACTCGTGAGCTCTCTGCCATTGAGAGTGTCCATGGGTGGCGGATTCACTTAACCAGGGAAGCCACCTGCCCGTTAGCCCTCCTGGTCTTTAAAAAAAAAGAATCGCAAGGCAGTACATTACTCATATATCTTCATGTCTTTTATTTATATGTTTATGTATGACAATTGTCTTTTTCAAATCGAGAAATTTGCTCAAGGAGTATTCAGAATATCCATAGCGCTAAATCACGTGCATTATGAGCACACCCCACTTACCCACACGTTCACAACCTCAATTTCACACCAACACAACACAGCCGAATTAGGTATTACATATTTAATATTTTTTACTGAATTTTTCATTCCTATGTATTCAATATTAGGTTACCTATACATTTAGTATAATTGTTTTTGTGGTATATAATTTATGTTAGCTGAAATACAAAATAAATAAGTAAATAATTTTTGTACCTGGCAAGCTCCCTTTGCTGTGGGCGTAAATGTGCATAGTTGTTTTTCAGTTATCACGTTCACGTTCATGAACATATATTGACAAGTTCTAGTCATCATCACAGTTTGGTTCACCATTTGTAAGGTCGCTGGGATGGGATCGTCGCCACTCTAATAAGTATTCAGTTTAAACTATTACTAATTTATATTGAAGGCTGTGTAAGCTTAGTGCTTTTCACCTCAACTTTGAGGTCTACTATTCAATTCGAGGCCTTTCAGCACTTTCTGAAACGGTAAGCGTAAGGAAACTGACATGTCTTGACACATCAGCGTGTTTCAAGCTGTACGCCAACTTGCCTATTTAAAAAAATTATATCAATAAACAGATACAAAGACAAGGGTGGTAGCGCCACATGTTTTGTGTATACCTGACATTGTGTATTATAATTCTGTGCACTAATAGATGTATCCGAACTTTGATTAAGATGATCAAAGATTTAAGTCGGTGCCCGTTAGATAGTACGGATGACCCCATAGCTGGTGCTTTTCTCGCTCAACGAATAAGTATCGCAATACAGCGAGGAAATGCTGCCAGCGTTAAAGACACTTCTACAGGGACCAAACTTTTTAAATTTGTGATAATTTTCTATTATAAATAATTACATATTTCGATTATTATTATACCATGTAGGTTAAGAAAATTGTAAATACTATACAATTAAATCTTCTATTAGAATTTCCTTCGAAACAATTTAAGGTGATTAATAATAACACTTTAATTGCACTTCTTGCCTACCTTATGTAATTTAATACTTTTTTTTTCTTCTCACAGTGGTTGCCTGGAAGAGATCGCTCGAAAGCGATAAGGCCGCCAGTTGCTCCCCTTTTTATTTAATTATGTCAATTGTACTATATTTATGTATATGGAACGAAGTGTTAATAAATAAAAATAAATAAACAATAATCGTTTATTTGCAAATAAAAGAAAGTGCTCCATTCATTCATTGATTAATTATAAAAACCGCACAACCAGACATATAAAAAAATTATAATGTCATATGAATTATCATAACGTCATAATAATAAGATCAGTTAAATTGTTTATAATAACGCTAAAGATACAGATATTGTTGAATACCTACGTAAAGTTGTCGATCCGAAAATTTCGTAATAATTTCGTTGTATCGAGCTGCAATTATGGAGTGTCGTAGGTCAGCGTACACACTAATATACAATAACATCTGTACAAATGGCCAGTCAGAATATAGTTAATTTCATTTATAAGACTTATTTACCAACGAAATTACCTTAAATTGTTTTATAGGTAAATTGAAACTTTAAACGGTAAAAGTAACAAACTAATTATTATCTCATACTATTATTTTAAAATAATAAGTTATGGTCTATTATTTAGTCGCTTTTCAACCCTGAGGACGTGCATTCGATTCCTGTCCACCGAGATATATATCGAAAATATACTTGGAGGATTACAGTGGTCTCAGCTAAGTCATAATCCTTCTTCTGTGATGGGTAAGGACGTTGTTTTGCCTTGTGTTGTCCAAAAAATGGTGACGAGTCACGAGGTCGGAATGCAGTTTTATGCTTCTGTGAGTAAGTAATGCTACAGATGGAGACACTGGAGCGAGAGAGGGAGCGCTTTAGGACAAATCCTAGGGTTACCAAAAGGTTAGGAGAAGATATGCTCATCTCCTTCCTCCTAGTGTGTTTTTGAGTGTAATATGCCGAAGAGGTCCCGCTAGAATGCGAGACCCACCCCTGAGCCTCTGTAATGCAGCTTCGTACAAACTATTCGAGGTGGTTTTAGTGCGTATTGCTTACCCAGTCTCAGAATAGCAGAGATTCTGGTGTGGGTCGAGTCCCACATACCTTTGCAACTTTTGGGGGCAGGGGATGCGCAAATACATATCCATCTCGGATATAAAAAAATAAGATCGTCACTGAAATATTAGTTCTCTTACCGTTGTTCGACCCCAACCAGTAAGTAGAACATTAGCTCCAAGTGAACAGGGCCCGTCAGCGATTTCTATAGGTTTCACTCGTTCACTGAACTTTATATCTTCGTTCACTTTAATAAGACTGATGTCATTCACTATAGTAGATTGGTCGAATTCTTCGTGAATGAACACATGCTCGACTGAATACTTATCACCGCCAGTTACAAGACTGTTTGTACCTGTTACAACTTCGACGACCTCTGCAGGAAATCTGAAAAATAAAACCCCTTTTTAGTCTAAAGAAGTTAGTAAGCATTTTCATTCTAACCGAACATTTTTTTATTTTTTTTAAGTCCCTATATAACACGTCATAGATTAGCATTTTTCATAACTTCGTGTGTTACCATTATTTTTCGTGTAACGTGTTAATTGTGAATAGGACAGAAAAATTAATTGGCAAGACTTGCATATTTTGACTTGAATCACCAAACGGCGTAGAAATTCACATAAGAACACATAACTTGAAAATTTAGGTTTTTTGTAGGTATTTGTATTCACTTATTACTAAACTGCGATATTATATTTTAATTCTGTACTGTAAAAAATTCCTAGACTAGTTTCATTAATTTTAAAGGTACACTGCCACAGGGACCAAACTTTTTGAATTTGTTTTAATTTTCTATTTATTAATTTTTAATTATACAAAATTATACATTTTGATTATTATTATACTATGTAATTTAAGAATATGTTTCTAATTGGATACGTCTTTTAAGGTACTGCAACCCACATTTTTAATAGACAAAATATAGATTAAAAATTCAGAAATAAAAAAAAACATTCGTTATTTTACGAATCAAGAAACGAATCAGAAAGAATATGTTAACCAGTGTTTCAAGCTTGAGACCGGATCAATTAAGAGTTGAAATAACCTTTAATTAACATTTTTAGCGCAAAGGGAACTACTATTGAACTATGCCGTAAGTTTTGTCTGGAGTAAATGTAATATAAATTACTCGATGACACAGTGCGCAGCAGTGATAACCCATCTTTTGCCGATAACGGTTGCTCCACAGAAGTGATGGATTCCATTCCTCAAAGACGCCTGGTATGGTATTGCACCATCAGGAGCTTCTGTGCCACCGATGATCTTAGTATCTGGTACAAATAGCCTCATAGATAGAATTGAACCTGAAATCAATATTTTTAAGACAATTATAACACGCCAAGGCGATTAAGCACTTCAGCTATTTGACAGGTACATCAAAAGTCTTCTATTCGTACCTGCGGCTCGCTTATCTGCTACTTTTAATGATCCAGTGAATAGGCTATCTCGCTCTTATAACTTAATTATAACAACTAAGCGTAACTTTGTTTTGCAGGCACTTTATGTTTTTCATTTAGTTTTGTTTATTACTGTTATTGTTATTTTTTATCTTTTTAGTTTTAGTTATTATTAATTTTTAAGTGTTAGTTATTTTTATTATTTTGTTCTTTTTTATCTTTTTTCGTGGTTGTTTGTTGAATTTTTTCCTCTGATAGATTGCTTATGTTCTAATGTAATTGATGTGTATGTGTGTGTTATATTTGTGATATCATATTTTCTTGTATTTTTTAGACACATTGTTTTAGAATGTATAAATAAATTAATTAATTAAACGTGACGAAAATCTCTCAAGAAACTTTTGATAATGACGATACATATATTAGTATATCATACACCATAACCCAGTTAGAATTATAGAGAGAAAATTCTTATACTAAAACATTAAATTGAGTACGATTTCTGCTCATATTAGGTAAAAGTAACTACGAACAATACGCCCCTTACTTTGTTGTAAGTACAATACTACAAAGCATTTTTATATAAACATATTCTTAAGAATCTTGCTATAAGCGAGCATGTACCATACTTTCTCATTTGTTACGTTTGGTTGTTTACGAATGGACGTCGAACATCTGCCCAAAGATGGATGGTCGAGTCGGAGTAGGGAATAGAATATAAAAGAAGTTGTGGCACAATCACGACAGCTAATGACATATTAATAGCCCCCCACGCGGCAAATAATATTCTAAATCAGATTCGGGTAAAAAACAGCCTTCATCGGGGAAGGCATGGACCTGTACTTCGTACTTCGCTCACCCCAGTGAGCTTCCGTCCTGCCCTTTAGGTGGTTGACCAGCCCGCGACGGCCCAAGCCGAGGTCCGAGTCTCGCAGGAGACGCCCTTGCGCTTGACGCGGGAAAACGCCCATTCCGCCCGAGCTACGCTCGCCAAAAGAGCCCGAGCTGAACTGTAAAGGCCCTTAAAGCCAACAGCGAGATTCCATTAAAAAAAGCGCACGGGCTTTCTTTGTTTCACTTTAAAGTGATACAGTTTATGTAAAATCAGTGAAGTGAAAGAAGCGAGTTATTGTGAACCAATTAACGGAGTTTTTAATTTCCTACACTTGATCTAGTTCTTATACTATAAATAGATTTTTAAACGAAAACATTTCTTACCGCTGGCAGTACAAACGACGAAAAAGATAAATATAAAAAACATATTTTAGTCACGTTCTTTGATTATAACCAGAAGGAATAAAACTTAAGAAAGTACTTTCAGTGACGAACTGCTGCTATGTAGTAAAAGATAAAGTAAATAACACCTTAATATGCGTGAATTTGAATAATAAATGTGTCATTATGTATACTATTTATTCGATAGTGGAAAATTTTAGAACTTTTTAACAGAAAAAACTCGTTAATAATATTTATAGGTAACGAAACAATTGCAAAACTCCACAGAAGGCTGTTCTCTGCCAAGTCTTTCATTTTTCCTCAGCATATGACTCACATTTTGGGCGAATAATATTTGCCAAAACATTAATCATTTTATTCACAATTTGTATTTTAAATGCAAATGAGTTAAGAATGTTACCTAGATTAGGGAAATATTACATATCTATTATATATACAGACAGAATTAAATTATTTTATTTATTGGTATATCAAAGAGATAGGGCAGGGTTGGCCTAGTGGCTTCAGCGTCCGACTCTCATTCCTGAGTTCGTAGGTTCAATCCCAGGCTGTGCACCAATGGACATTCTTTGGATGTGCGCATTTAACATTTGAACGGTGAAGGAAAACATTGTGGCTTGCCTTAAATCCAAAAAGTCGATGGCGTGTGTCAGGCTCAGGACACTGGTCATCTACTTGCCTATTAGATTGACAAATGATCATGAAAGATATTCAGAAATCCGTATCATCATAAAAGTAGCGTTTTATTAGAATTTAATGAAGCAGTTTTCATTTATATCTTTGTAGTATTTTCATCCATTCTAGCCTTAATCCAATCGAGATATTCGTATACTCTTGTGAAGACATCAGGAACAGCGTAGGCACACGGCAGGTTGTATGAGGCCACACCGACGGCCTCGCCTTTTTCTATCAGAGCACCACCAGAGTCACCCTGTAATATCAGTCAGTGTTCTTTAGTGCCCTCCCACACCGGAACGCCATGGCGACATAATTTTTTGTAATTAATGAAATTAAATATACTTAGAACGCGAAATTGGCGGAATTGTGATTTACACAGAAGTCGCCATTAAAAATAAAGTGAAGTGAAAATAAATATTTGTTAAATAAAACTCGTCATCTGGTTTTTTATGCATATCACTCTGCCAGGCTTCCTAGTTTTCTCAGGAAGAGGTCGCGAAAGCTCAATAACAAAGCAATAATAAGCCTCTTAATGAGTATTACATAAAGAATATAGATAAATGTTTTAGTCTTAATACAAGTTATCAATAAAATAATAACAATTAAAATCCTTCAGTTTACATGCTATATAAAGTAAACGCCTAAAGTAATATAATTTCTGTCTCTATCTACTCCCCTGCCATTGTGTCAAGATATATAAAATCATACTGCGTCTGGCGAGCTATGCTATATCAATAATATATTGAGCCAGGGCGCAATCGCTTGCGAGACCCGTTCTTTCATTTTTGTTTTCGTCTATCGGCAAACGGTTATTTATTAATTTACAGCTAAAGCTTGCGTGTTGTTCCCACGAGAATGTAAGTGCGTGCTCCTATTTCAGTTTGCCTACTGCTCATACAGGACAAATATTTGTTTTTTTTATTAATTAACTATTACTTAAGATGTCATGTGGAACATTGTGTTATGTTTGCAGCTTTAACAAACATTATGTAAAACAAAAAAACTTGGCGATTAAAAAGAGTGGCGGAGAGTTTATTGCCAGTTCTTCTCGTCCTTTCTACACTCTTGATTTGTAGTAGTTAGTATATCTATATTATATTTAGATCTACTACGTACTGAAAGTCTTGAGGAGTGTAGTGTGCAACCCAAGTGCACTCCAAGAACTGGGTTTCTTAGTACCTATGGGATATGTGCGACGGCGAAGGCCTAGGTTATTTGCGATACCAAGGGCAAGAACCAGTCTGTTGCACAGATCCCCGTTATCAAAGACGTTGCGCCTACTGAATGCTGTCTCCGACACTATCGACATATTTATATGTTCGCAGAGTGAATTCACAGTAGCGATGTTGTGTATATTATGTGTTTAATATTATGTATGTACCTACTTTATTATATTTTATTTAATGTTTCTCGACATTATCGTATTGGCATAGTCTGTAAGGATAATGTATGTATTTCTGTAATAAATAAATAAATATTAGAGAGAGATCAAAATAAAGAACTCATGTATTCGTATATGTCAATACGATAATTTTCAGTTTTTGTCAGTTCAATACAAAAGTCTATCTTTATGATTGAGAATAGCTGTTTGATGATACGTATGATGTGCTCACCTGACATGTTCCTTCTCCTCTTTTGGTGAGGGTGCATATTTGTTTCTTGGTAAAGGGATTCTTCTTTTGGAATGCCTTTAATTGTTTCTGGCAGTTATAAACAGATAAAGCTGTTACGTTGAGCCATTGCAGTTTATCTGGTATTTTAGTTCCTTTTTGCTATAACAAAGTCATTAATAAGAAAAATAAATGGAATAAATATGAAAAAAAAACAGCAATTCAGAACTAAATTACAAATTTTTATAAGTTCTCAAAGAGTTCGTTACCGCATTAGGCTGAAATATTTATCAGTTATAGTCAAGGCATTCTTTTGTTTTTAGAAGAAAGAATCCAGAACACTCAAGTATAATAAGCGGGCCTTTTAATAATTGGTACGCTCTTTTCTTGAATGACCCTAAGTAGAATTGGTTCGGAAACACTTCAGTGGGCAGCTGGTTCCACATAACAGTGGTGCGAGACAAAAACTGACTTAGAAAATGCTCAGTTGTGGAACGGCGAACGTTGAGGTGATACGGATGGTATTTTGCATTCTGCCTTGACTACCTATAATGAAATTCAGCGGCAGGTTTCCGCCCGAACAACTCTGCTGAACTCTCTCCATAGTAAATGTAGTTTCTTTCAAATCAAGATACTTACATTCGTATAACCCCAACCAGTGAGCAAACACTTTGCACCTGGTTCTGTATTCCTTGAGGCTAGTTGGACAGGCTTAACTTTATCAGAGAACTCAATCTCTTTTTCAGTTAACATCAGCGCGATGTCGTTGGCGAAAGATGTACGGCCGTACTTCTCGTGAATTATAAATTTACTAATTTTATATTCGGTTCCTCCGCGTCTTAGATTTGTTCCTACTGCAGCTACAATATCCTTTGGTTTTATCCTAAATATAATTGAGGCTAAAGTCTAGGATTAAAATTATTAAAACAGTTGATAAAAGATTCCACAGTCAACATCAACAGTTAATGTTTACCGAAACAAAAATGAAGTTAACACGATGAATAAAATCGCTAGTAAACAGATCACGGCCAAAATGCTGCAATGTTGTAATTCAATTAAATTTTGGCTTCTAATACACGCCATGATTGAATAAAAACGAAATTATACAGAAGTTAGAGGTAGAGGTGACTTTGTGTGTTTCTTTTATCGAGGTATTTACATTGTTTTATTTTTAATTAGAGTCAACCATTGAAATTATAGTGAAGGGTCAATACATATTATTAGAGTCTGGCTAATGAAGAAGATAAAGAAAAAGCGCGGCAAATTCAAAAAATGTTAGTAAAAGTTTGATATATTTTGTGGATTAAACCTACTTGATACTTGATTTTATTTTATTATTTTTTACATTGATAGTAACTGTATTTCTATGAAATTAAATACTATACGTATTTAGTATTTTACTATTGATACTTAAAATGACTAGCATTGCATGGAAAACTAAAACTACGAAAACGAAACTATTTTTTATAAAACACAACTTTATTCGGAATAATCAAATCCTGCGAATGAAACGAAATAATCTATCAAATAAAACAAAGTTTAGGCTATAATAACTATTCGGAAAAAATATATAATAGAAATAAAAATGAGTAATTGCATGAAGTATCAAGACAATAAATCATACTAACCTAAGAAATTCAATGACATTCTGTGTTGCCATCCGAAAGTTTTCAAATAATTCAATTATCTTCTTTCATTAGCCAGACTCTAATTGTTTTTATTTCAAACATAACATGAAATCCAATCAACGATGAGTGTTTTTGGATAATGTCCGCTTTTAAAATTCATGGTCATGGATTGCTTACTTAACGAGACAATGCGCGGCTGTCATGATCCATCTTTCCTCGATAATAGCACCACCACAGAAGAGCCAATTGTCTTCTTTGGGTTCTCTAATCCCGACCTGATGGGGTACCGCGCCGACAGGTGCTGCCGCACCTCCCACAACTCGCTCTGCGTCCTTATTCGCATCAATATGCTTGTCTTCTTCCTCAAGGGATAAAGAATCTCCTAAAAAGATTGGGGTTCATATCACGCTTAATATAAGAGCATGTTTAATTTTGGATGCCGCGTTTCTGAACAATGACTTGGTGCTTTGACCAAACCATTGCCTTAGGTTTTTCAACCAGGTCTCTACCTGCCACTTTGCCTTGTATGTTTAGTTGCCTTATTCGTATAAGCTCCTTAAAGTGGCCCAATTTCGTATAAAAATAAATTGATGATATTTTGTATTTATTTAATATTATTATTCTCTGCCTAGTTTAGTAAACTCATCTAACAGACGTTCACTCTTCTATGATCGATGATTGAAGAGTTTTTATTGTATTGAATCTCGCTGTTCTGAAGGGCCTTGTCAGCACAGCCCTGCGATTCTGTAACTCACTTTTGGAACTCACACAGCGGTTTTCGCATCGGCGGTCGCTCTCAAATCAGTCGTGAAGCAGTCATTTTATGATTTGGCATTCTGATAAGGTGGGAGCTTGTAGTTTATTGTTTATCAGACTGCCAAATCATAAAATGACTGCTTCACGACTGATTTGAGAGCGACCGCCGATGCGAAAACCGCTGTGTGAGTTCGAAAAGTGAGTTACAGAATCGCAGGGCAGCTCGAGCTGTTTAGGCGAGCATAGCTCGGCCGTGGTATTTAAATATTTTAAATACTGTAGTTTGATAGCATTTTTTACAAAGGTCACAGTTTTTTAATGGCCTCACTTAAGCCCGCACTGTTACACATACCGAACTGATAATGCAATCGTTGACATAAATATGTAAATTAAGAATATACTAGTAAAGTAGCTGACGCAGGTTCTCGCGTCGGCTACTTGATTTGTATAATTTTTTTGCAATGGCGCAGAACCTAAGTGTATGTAAATTTTCGACGTATGGGAGAAATTTTGTAGCAAATCGTCACGTTTTTTGGTTACGCGCCATCTTTTTCTTCTCCCTACTACGGTTGATCCGAAGAGATTCGAAGCCATTAATAACAAAAATATATAATAACGATAGCAACGATAGTAATAATTCTATTACAATTAATGAAATTCTGTAATAATCTTAATAAGGTAAAATGAAATAATTGTATTTGTATTCATGTCTATGATAATATGTCTATGATAATAGCCTTTAGTTAAACTTTATCTAATTTAACTTTATTCAATCAATTTCTGTAAAGTTGCATATAGTAGATCATTTTTCGAAATATAAGGTCATAAAGAAGTTTCCCTTCTCCTAATTTAGCCTTTGGCATCAATTAAGTTCAGGCAAAAGCAGAGGATATTGCAGTACAATAATTTGAACTTAAATATTTGTGGATTTATAAAAAACCCAAGGTCAGAACATCAGCTACCGAAAACTACTATGAATTTATACGAACGTTAACACTTAAAATCGGATAGCTATAGTAACAGAAGCAGTGAGCAGTGTTGGCCTAGTGGCTTGAGCGTACAGCAATGAACCAACAATTAATACCTACTGTGCACAATTAACACTCACTTACAATGAAGGGAAAAAATAAGAAGTCTTAGACTGAAAAATTGACGGCGTGTGTCGGACACAGAAGGCTGATCAGTGATCACCTACTTGTTTATTACCTAAAAGGTTGTAATGCCACTGTTTCTTTTGTCGTAATTGAAAATAAATGATAAAACTCCGTGAGGGTATTTGTAACTAAACGGTAGCACGAACATGGATTGTCCGAATGGAATATGCTTCGTAAAATAAACTAATTAGTTTAGTTAATTTTTGTCTAATTAAAACTTTATATCTCTTAAACGGTCAATAAAATATATTAAGAAGAATCAGAGACTATTATTTTGCACAAATTAATACATTAAATAACAATTAATACATATGTATTATCGCCGCCGTCATGGCGTAAAACCGTAAAGGGTACGAGCCCGGTGAAATAACAGCTGTTTTGGGTAGCTAGGCAAGGCAGGGATTATTATTAGTTTAAGTTTTAATTTAATATAAAAGGCATAAAGAATATTAATTACTCACCTTGAACTGTAAGCATCAAAGAAAATAAAAAATACTTCAACATTTTAAATGACTAAAAATTTCTGAGGCATAAACGATTCCTAAGTCATAAATATACTAGTTGCAGATATAAAACAACGTTTACAATGATTTAAATTAGAATTTTAATTCTGTCCAATTATACTGAGATATTAACTGAATTATACTGAATATCTTTTAGGAAAATAATTTCCTATCATTATATAAAATTTAGATTCGAATATGTTTAAAATATAAAGAGTTGGTTTAACTTGTTCTTGTCAATCTTGATCGCGGCCACTGTTTAACCACTTATTTTACTGACTTTGACTAAGGAGTTATCAGTCAAGTAATAATCTCCAAATTTAGGGGGAATCAAAATGACCTAGGGGGTTTTAGTATATAAATTTATTTAAGGGGATTTTTGGGTCTACATAATATACCCGACATTTTTAAAACGCACGATTCTATACAATTTATATGAAGCCTAGAACCCAATTAATAAGCTAAAACAAATATAAACTACAAGCGTGGCTAAGCTGAAATAATATAAAGCTAAAGTACTCCAAGATATAAGTTTTTTACTACTTAATAAATTTTTGATGTATATTCGAAATTATCTCTTAAACCGAATACATATTATACAACAAGAACTTTAGGTATTGAAATCGATATTTAGGAGTGTTTTAGATGTTTTATATGTATAATTAAAAATATCCATATATTACTATAATAAGTATCTTAGTCTTAGACACGTTTCCGTCTGGTATTCATAGGGATCAGTTGAGCTACCTGTAGATTGTTTGCAACAATTTTCAGTTGTTTCAGTTGTTATTTTTTTGTTAATAAAGAGATAAGTATTATAGTTATCTAGTACCCATAACACAAGCGCTGCTTAGCTTTTGCCTCGATTATTCTGAGTGAATTTTCCAGCGTTATTTATTTATTTATTCTGTTTGTTACGTTATCACGTTGAAACAGATGAATAGATCGTGATGAATTACCTTGAGTAATGCCGTCGTAGAAATAATTTTTAGCGTGATGAAGACGGTGAAGATAAAATTAAGGAACAGAATGCAACTTGCTGATTGCGATCCTAAGGGCCAGTTTTTTGATCCGTAGTTAAAAATGATATAACCATTTGTTACATTAACTATAGTTAAATGACTAACCAGTAGTAAAATCGTAAATGCGTTTTTCAATGTCTATTTTAACTATTGTCAAACTTAACCATTGGTTAATAATTATAAGTTAATATTATAGGCAATAAAATACATAATGAATTAGTAATATTATACTTAATTATATACCGCTGCGGTACTGTAGCTAGTTTTGAAGCAAAATAGGTTTGTATGAGCTGCTGTCTATACTCTTGTTCATTGGCAGTTTAAGATCATTTCAGTAACAATCCAGAGCACTGTTGCCTTCGATAGGGGGTAACGGTGACAAAAATCTACATCATCCCAGGTTTCTAATGGCGGAAGGCGTTGCCTTAATATTTTTGGTTACTCATTCATTCATTTATAATATCTATTATAATATCATCGTCTTCTTCGTCGTCTCATTAATTAAAGTATCTCACTATGTTTAAATTCATCATTAGATAGTAATAAACGTAGTTATCATAGTTTGATTTCTGTGACAAACAGCTGTTATTATATAAATTACCAGCGGCCATCTTGTTAACCCTCCGATACTGAGTAGTTAACTTTTTTGACTAATGGTTAGATATTTAACCATTAGTTGCTCTAACCACGGATCAAAAAATGCATTTTGCTGATATTTAACCAATAGTAAGGATTTTTAACCAATAGTTGAGTTAATTACGGATCAAAAACCGGCCAGCAAATGTTGCTGGCAGATGAAACAGAATCTTTTTTAAAGTAGAAAATGTATTAAATTTTATTAATTTTTTATATTTCGGCTCCTTTTTAGACTACAGATCCTGAAATTCGGCTACATTAAGCTACTTATGCTGTGAAAAATGGCGATATCAGTCCCGGTGTAGTTGGCAACACTTGTGTGCGTTTTCCAATTACAGCACTAGAGCGCATTATGCGGCATAATGCTCAACGTTGAGTGTTCTAACTACAGCAACGCTTCGCACAATTGAGCACTCTCAAAACAAATGCTCTCTCGTGCTTCTCGCAAACAATACCAACACAGTTTCAGAAAATTGACCAGTATTTTTCTTTAAGTTGGCATTTATCGAAATTTTCGTTAGTAAATATTATTTATTGTTGAAAAATTTGTAAGGCTTTCGTTTCGTCGTAGATATTGAAAATAATTAAAGTTATTTCAAACTGCTAAAAAAAAAAAAATATTAGTATGGATGAAGGTATAAATAGTTACTTTTTTTATATTCCACATTTAAAATATGAATACAATTTTATTTTAACATTCGGATCTGTAAACAAATTTATTTTACAGGATTATACTTTAGAAAAAATTGCAATGGTTTTGAAAAAGTATATAATTTTTTTAGAAATCATTAAAAAATATTACTCAAAACGTAAATGATGTAAACTTCTTACATGAAACTAAATATTTTACTGTTAATTTAGCTTGTTAAAACCTTATATTCTTTAAAGGTTTTCTATTATTTCAATAAAAAAAATGTTAATGAAATAATTTGATGATTAAAATAAGCGTAAAAAGTTTTCAATCAATTATTATTGTTTACCACATTATTTATAAATTAATTAAATAAAAAAAAATTAAAAAAAAATATGTTTATTATGGAACATAAGATACATGTATCACTTATTCCACGTGATTAAATTTGAAGGCATCCCTACTCATCGGCAAAGAAGACAGAGGGTGTAGGCCGAGAGAAAAAGCCGGCGTAAAAAACTCTCGGTACTCTTTTAAAACAGCAAATCATCAAACAACACTTATTTTAAACAAATATCGCAAATTAATTAGAAGTAGCCTGTCTAGCACTAGTCCCAGGCCCTTATATCAACTAGATAATCGTTGACTTTATAGTAAGCCTTTTTACACAGCTTTTCTTTAATACATTTCTTAAATTTATTGAAAGGCAGTGATAAAAGAGCCTCTGGGATTTTATTAAAGAAGAGTATCCCTTTCCAAAAAAAGAATTACTAACTTTAGATAGTCTAGTACGGGGAAATTGCAGCCTGCGTTTGTTCCGTGTATTAACATTGTGCGTATGTTCTATTCTAGTAAACTTATCACTATTTTTGTATACATGCATAATATTTTCATAAATATATTGCGAGGGAAAGGTAAGTATATTAATTTCCTTGAATTTATCTCTAAGAGATCCCCTACATTTTAAATTATAGATTGCACGAATAGCCCTCTTCTGCAGGATGAAAATAGTTTCGACATCAGCAGCATGACCCCATAATAATAAGCCATAAGTCATTAAGCTATGAAAGTAACTAAAATAAACAAGTCTAGCTGTATCGACATCAGTTAGTGAGCGAATTTTTTTAACCGCGTAGGCTTCAGAACTAAGTCTCTTCGCCCATCCGTTAATATGAGGGGACCACTGAAGTTTTGAATCCATGGTGATTCCGAGAAATACAGTTGTATAATCCAGATTCAATTCCTCACCGTTTATAATTGGTCCAGTATCCATAACCCTTGCATGCATGCAACCTCATTGCAACCTCTTGCAATGAGGTTGCTAACTCAATTCATAACATTTTTTTTACAACACTGACTTAGCGCACTCTGCTGATGCATTTGAAAACTAATTCACGTTCCAATTAAGCTTCAGCATTATGCGGCATTGTGCGGCACTGAGTCGCATAATGCTCTGTAATTGGAAAACGCATTGTATGATTTTGAAATTTGAATTTGATTACTGTTGTCTTGAAGTTGTGGACTGTATTTGTCATTTTACATTTAAAACCTTTTACTTTGCCAACTAATTTCCTGAATTTTAATATTGATATTAACATACACTTTTTTACTAATGATATCACGGAAACTATAAATGTAGGTAAAATTTAAATTTTTCGAATTACTAATCGGAATTACTAATTTAAACAACTTATACGTATAATATTGTGTTAGCTATATTTACATTCTGATAAGAATGATTGTCCAATTATATAGTTCATTTCTGACGATATATAATCATGTTTAGGTGGAGACAAGTGTTATTTGCAATTCGTAATCCCAGAGCAGTATTCGAAGGATCAAAAGAACCACGAAAGCAGTTTTCTACAAGAGTTACTATGTGTGATAAATTCAAGCTACCGGTGAGATACGGTGCAGGAGAAGCGAGTGTTTGGTAATATTTTATATTGTTTCTATTTGTTACGATAAATATCAATAATTAGAAATAATTTATAATTTTCCAGTAAAATTTAAAATTCAAATATTATCTATTCTATTCCTATTTGTGTTTCAGCCTCTTAAAAAAATTAATAACTACAGTAAATAGCCAATTTCGATATATTTAAAATCCTACAAAAAATAGGTTCAATAGGTTGAATATTTATATGTATAATGTTTTCTTATTTAAAGTGAATTGTATTATATTGAGAAATTAAAATCTTAAACTTCTATGGATGTTTCTACTTAGCCTCCTGGCTTAATTCTTAGTAAAAAAAAGAATCAATACACTTGTTTGAGTAAATATTTCATTGTGTAATAGTATGATTGTAAAAAAATGTTTTTGAAACGTGAACTAGATATCTTCTATATCAAATGAGAAATAACCTTTTAACCTCAATGGTGATATTATTGACCTAATATAAAACATATTATATTTGTGGTTTTACTCATTAGTTTTAATTACAAGTTTAGTGGAAGGATATTTTAATTAAGGCTTAACTACAATTTATCTAACAGATATACCTAATTATTTAGTTAAATAAATTTTTAAATATATTAATTAGGATTTTTATTTTTATTTGTCATGCTGGTGCTGCTTTTAAGCCATTTAAATTGTTTATTCGACTAAATCCTCTACCTAATATGAACAATGTATATTTATCTGCATCACAGGGTAGAATACATTCAGCTAGCTGCAGAATACAAACCAGCAGTGAACCTTGGACAGGGTTTTCCCGACTATCCACCTCCTCAGCATGTCATCAAGTCTCTGTCGGATATAGCATCACCAGATAGTTTTTTGCTGAATCAATATACTAGAGGATATGTGAGTTTCTATTTTCTTAACCTATATTGCATATTGTTTGATTTTATAAAAAAAAAGGTTTGAGTTTATATATTGTATATTTATGGCTAAGGCTCTTTTACTGGTATGAAGAACCCATTCCACTTAGAAGAAGTTGCTATGATGAATTTTATTTATGAATTTGACTCCTTACTAGGCCAGTCACTTATTACTTGATACGCTAATTACTTCGATACTAGCTACTTGATGCGATAACTATACAAAACAAAAACATTATTTTGTGGGATAGGATTCATATCAGATTATTTTGAATTTGTAATTGTTATAGTAATGTGCCTCAGTAGAGGCATTCATTAAACGTCATTAAAACATGTTTATAGAACCGTAAAGTTTACATTAATTATGATAACTTCAAGGTTTTTCACTATCTTTATTTCACCTTAAACATTATGCTTCTAACTTTCTTTTAACTAAATTTTTAAGTGTTATTAATTTATCAGCAAAGAAATCAATATTATAATAATTATCTTTTTGGGTTTAGTAATAGTTATATCACATATTTGGTTGAAAGTATATAAAAACAAATAATTGTCATACAAAAGAATAAAAGTTTTTTAGTTTTTTTAAATTCATTACAAGCAAATATACAAATATTGCTGTATAATATTGTAGATTTAATGTATATTATTATCCTATAAAATTTTCAATCTTTCAGGGCCATCCACGACTGGTACAAAACCTATCGAAGGTATATTCTCCCCTTATTAATCGTCAGTTAGATCCAATGACTGAGATTTTGGTTACAAATGGCGCATATGAAGCTTTATATTCTGCTATATTGGGTATGTCTTCTAATTGTCAGCACTTCAATATTTTGTTCCGATAAGGCCTTGTAATAGCTATGGGTGACCGTTTAAATTATCTTATCATACAGACTAAAGATTTATTATACATCTTCTTGAATCATTATCTCTTTGATGTGTAATATAATGTGCCAGTTTTAAATTTGAAACATATTGTGCAATTTCTATTCCATAACACGAGTAACTAGAATTTTATAGTTTTGTCTAAAATTTTCCAAACTTAGAGCTTCCGTTAAGTTTTTCCTAGAAAAATTAATATGTCGAAAGTGACTTCAGGATCTCCAGAGAATCACCATTAATGATGCCTATATACAAAACTTACAAAAAATTATAAATTAATTTCTTAATCAAAAATTGCAGGTCATGTAGACGAGGGAGATGAAGTGATAGTGATAGAACCATTTTTTGATTGTTATGATTTTATGATCAAATCAGCTGGTGGAGTGCCAAAGTTCATTGCTTTGAAACCGGTAAGTGTTGCCAACTTCATACTTTTATTCTAAGGATATAATAATTTAAATATTAGGTCCCTACATATGAAATTGGCGTATTTCGTACTGGCCACTTTAATCACGATGTTCTCCTCTTTGGTAAGGAATTCCAAATTCAAATTTGTACAGCTTTTTACTCATGTATTTGTGCTTCGATGACCGTCATTCATTTGTTTTTTTCTGTTTGCGTCACTCTTTTCACAAAATGGAAAACTTAAAGTATCGCATTATTTACGAGTACGAGTTCCGCCGTGGCACCAGTGCTGCGGAAACAACTCGAAGGGTGAATGATGTGTATGGCGGTCATGTTGCAAAAGAAAACACAGTTCGTTTTTGGTTCCAACGATTTCGTTCTGGAAATTTCGACCTGCAGAACAAGCCCCGTGGACGGCCTGAGGCCCAAGTTGATATTGAAGTATTGAAGGCTATTATGGAAGCTGATCCATCGCAAACCACGTCCGAGTTAGCTGCAGGCTGCGGTGTTAGTGATAAAACTGTTTTAATTCACTTGAAGCAAATTGGGAAGATTAAAAAGCTTGAAAGATGGGTACCTCACGAATTGACTGAAGCAAACCGGCAAACGCGCGTCGACTGCTGCGTTATATTACTGAACCGGCACAATAATGAAGTATTTTAAACCGAATCATTACCTGTGATGAAAAATGGATTCTTTACGATAATCGAAAGCGCTCAGCGCAATGGTTGGATCCTGGCCAGCCAGCCAAATCCTGCCCCAAGCGAAAATTAACTCCAAAAAAGTTACTTGTAAGCGTTTGGTGGACTAGTGCCGGTATTGTTCATTGCAGTTTTCTCAAATCTGGCCAGACTATTAAGGCTGATGTCTATTGTCAGCAATTGCAAACCATGATGGAAAAGCTAGCGGCTAAACAATCTAGGCTGGTCAATCGCTCCACGCCACTGCTACTTCAAGACAACGCTAGACCACACACTGCACAACAGACGGCACACACTGCACAGAAGAAGAGCTTCAATTGGAATGTCTAAGACATCCTCCGTATTCCCCGGACCTTACTCCAACAGATTACCATTTTTTTCGGAATTTGGACAACTTCTTGCAAGGGAAAAAATTCTCTCACAACTCACAACTCTGATGGGACAGTCCAAATCGCCTACACAGATTGTATTGATTCCCGTCCGACTGGTTTTTTTTGTAAAGGGATCAATGAACTACCTATGAGATGGCAAAAGTGCATAGAAAACAATGGTTCATACTTTCATTAATTAAATATATTATATTTAAAAATATTCGACTTTTTGTTCCTCCCATACAAAACGCCAATTTCATATGTAAGGACCATATTTATCGATAAATGTAGGTGAAGAGCAACCTGTGTTTTTATAATCTAACCTATATTACTTAAATTGTGTCCTTTGTTCCTCTAAATGTAGATTTTTAGATATACTTATACATTGTTTTATATTGTGGTAACTGTAGGAATAGCAATAGAACGAAAGAATTTCTAAAGCATTCAAAATATTCACTCTCCAATATTTTTTATATACTTCTTTTGGTGCGTTAGGGAAAAATTATGAGACAGAATTTTTACGATACCGTCACAAAAGACCGACGCCCTGAAGTTAGCTATAACATTTTAATTTTTTCTTTTGCTAGGTTGCTTTTTCTACAAATGCAAAATACATTTTTTTAAATGTAGATTTTTAGATATACTTATACATTGTTTTATATTGTGGTAACTGTAGGAATAGCAATAGAACGAAAGAATTTCTAAAGCATTCAAAATATTCACTCTCCAATATTTTTTATATACTTCTTTTGGTGCGTTAGGGAAAAAATTATGAGACAGAATTTTTACGATACCGTCACAAAAGACCGACGCCCTGAAGTTAGCTATAACATTTTAATTTTTTCTTTTGCTAGGTTGCTTTTTCTACAAATGCAAAATACATTTTTTTTAAATGTAGATTTTTAGATATACTTATACATTGTTTTATATTGTGGTAACTGTAGGAATAGCAATAGAACGAAAGAATTTCTAAAGCATTCAAAATATTCACTCTCCAATATTTTTTATATACTTCTTTTGGTGCGTTAGGGAAAAAATTATGAGACAGAATTTTTACGATACCGTCACAAAAGACCGACACCCTGAAGTTAGCTATAACATTTTAATTTTTTCTTTTGCTAGGTTGCTTTTTCTACAAATGCAAAATACATTTTTTTTAAAGATTTGTATTTTGTTACGCCAAAGAAGTATAACTTCATCATTCATCTGATATTAAGTGACTCGGCAGTGTGTCCTCCCTCCGCCAGAAGGCTTTTTAATATTAAATCAACATTTAGCTGCATTAGACTTATCTTATTTGTAGAAGAATTTTTGATATTTTATTTTAGAAACCTACAGAATCTGAATTGACTTCAAACAATTGGGTGTTAGACGAGAAAGAGTTAACATCCCTCTTTAACCCGAAAACTAAAATGCTGATTCTGAATACGCCCCACAACCCCCTGGGAAAGGTTTTCAATAGGGAGGAATTGGAAGTTATAGCAAACTTGTGCAAGAAACATAATGTTCTGTGCTTATCGGATGAAGTCTATGAGTGGATGGTCTATGAACCCAACAAACATATACGGATGGGTGAGTGCCGAAATATAGATTAAAAATTTATTGATTTATGCACAGATATACATACAATTAGCCTTAGAGACTATCCCACTACGATAATATCGAGAAAAAATAAAATAAAGTATGTATATAATATTAAAGGGATAATATACAGAATATCGCTACTGTGAATTCACTCCGCGAACATACATATAAATATGTCGATAGTGTCGGAGACAGTATTCAGTAAGCAACGTCTTTGTTAACGGGGATCTGAGCAACATACTGGTTCTGGCCCTTGGTATCGCAACCAACGCTGTCGCACATTTCCCCTAGGTACAAAGAGACCCAGTTATTGGAGTACACGTCTTGTTGCTCACCACCTCCCCCAAGACTTTTAGTATTGGTTTGTGGACTCTGTTTCCACACTTTGGTTTATTGTTGTACTTTAACGCCCGAACCCAATAACATCTCAATCCATTTTCCACTATGAAATCTTAATCCAAATGTAGTAACAAATGTGCCAATAACCAATCGACGGATTGTAATAGCCATCTGCCGATACAAGCTATCCCTGGGAGGTCGGATCGGTGTCTGTGAATAGACCTTTGCATGAAAATGACAGATGACGAAAGCTCGATTCCAACAGTTAATTATTTTAACAGATTTTAACTTATACCAGTTTTTAAAGTAATTAAAGAAGCTGTTTGTTATGTTTTAAACATAGACATGTTTATTTTGTCATTTGTACGGTTTTATTTACTTTATTTGGTTTACATTGATTATCAAATATGAGTGTGAACTCGGTAAAATGGAACGACAAAGAGAGAAGAGATTGCATTTTAACCGTCGCCAAAAATAGATTGTCTTCGTAGGGTTTGCTTATTGGGATGCAGATAGGAGATCGATCGACTGTCACGGTCTGATTTCAGATTGTCCTCAATCTGAGATTGTGGATTAATTATTGGGTTCGAGCGTAAGTCCAGTCATTTTTTTTTAATTTCTGGTTCTAATATTTTTTGCCTAAACCGATTTTGATGAAACTTGATTCTTGGTGCCTTGCAATGTTATTTTTAAATCAAAAACGATAATTATATGATTCAAGTCAGTATAAAGTATGAATATTTTAGCGACCTTGCCAGACATGTGGGATCGCACCATCACAATCGGTTCAGCCGGTAAGACGTTTTCGGTGACCGGTTGGAAGATCGGCTGGGCGTATGGCCCACAGAAACTTATGCGCAACTTGCAAGTTGTTCATCAGAATTGCGTTTACACTTGCTGTACACCCATTCAGGTCAGTTTTACTTTAATTTTTTCCATTTTTCGTTTTTATTTGCCATAAGCACACTGCATGTGAATATATTAAAATAATAAATAATCATTATAATGTGTAAGATTAGGGAAACCTTTTAAGTAATAAATACCTCTGTCAGTGTTCCCAGCTTGTCAGTAAATTAATAGTAAATTCCGTAGGTTTTTTTCTTAATGTTGGTCAAAAATTATGAACGAGCCAGGGATCCCTCAATCATTATCGTGCATTCGTATCACGGCTGTGATTTATATATCTAATTAGAAGGAAAATATAACGAAGAAATGCGCAAACAATTTTATCCATTTGTAAGAACCGGTTCCGAAATACAAATTACCTATTTTTAAAAAACAAAATTGATTGTTTTTTTTATTATTGTTATATACAGGTTGTCCCAAAAGAAGAGTGACAAGCGGTCGTCCAGACATAGCGCCCCCCTTAGAGGGTCACTGCTTGATCCTCTTTTTTGGGACAGCCTGTATATATATCCTAATGTTTGGGATATGTCTGTCAGTTCATATTGATACCAAGGAGAATTAATTCTATTATCACCATTTATTGAACACCCCTCGTATGTCTTGAAAAATCGAATCGAAAATGTTTTTATAGGAAGCAGTAGCTCGTTCATTTGAATTTGAATTGGCTCGTGTCAACACTCCCGAGTGCTATTTTAACTCCATCAGCCGCGAACTGGTCTCGAAACGGGATTATTTTGTCAAAGTTTTGAGGGAGAACGGGTTTAACCCAACTGTTCCTGATGGCGGGTACTTCATTATTGCTGACTGGACGAAACTGAGTAAGAAATTGTATTAAAAAAATATTTTTTCCTTTTATCGTTTAGTTTTTGAAGTGAAACTTCTTTAGTAACGATTAGTAGAAACGAGGTTAAAATTTTTACGGATGAAACGAAATAATAATATTAGCGTCACAAAGATGTGCAGCGTTTTTGTTGTAGAAAAGGGAGGGAGCGATTGAGATCGATTTAGAGAGAAGGAAAAAATACACACGCATATAGTCTTTTATGAGTATTTTTTTTTTTCAGAGAACAAAATAGATCTGACTTCAGAACGCGACAAGTATCAAGATTATCGCTTCACGAAGAAATTTGCGAAGGAAGCGGGTGTTCTAACAATACCACCCTCGGCCTTCTATTCTGAACAGCACAAGCATTTGGGAGAAGATTTCGCGAGGTTTTGCTTTATTAAGGTAATTTCTCTTCAAGCAGGCTCTAAAAATTGTTACCTTGTTAATAAGGGGATATCTTTGTTGAATACCCTATTTCCCTTCATAATGTATACTTTAGGCATGTCTCTTTTCATCACGTCGTAAAAAGAATTTAACGGAAAGAGACGAAAGACGCTAATTGGAGTTAAAAAAATTGTTGTTTTTTTAAATTTCTACAGAGCAGTCATACTTAGTGTGGTACCCTTATGGTACAGATCAGACGTTTATTAGAAGATTTGTTGCATTACGTGGGTACATAAATTCATTTACAAGACTACCCTCATTTTTGTGACATAATATTTTCTTATACAAATTCCATTACTTCAAATTTTTTTTAAACCAAATAATACAGGTTTTAAGTGTAATATAAGCTCCGTTTAGCATCCAAAAAACAGAAAACAATTATTGTTTCGGAATCGAATCTAGAACCTCCATTGTTAAACCTTACCATATTTACTAAAAAAGCTATTTTGTTTACAGAAAGACGAAAACTTAGCTCTCGCAGAGAAACTTATGAAAGAATGGAACGCAAAGAAAAAATAATTTAAAGAATCTGTAAATAAAAAGGTTAATTGTATGAATATATGTAATATTGTATATAATATAAAATTTGTTATGTTGACAATCCAGTTTCATTTATTCTCGACAATTTAAGGTTTGAAGTCGCCGCGAAGCCATCTCTTTGCATCGCGAGTGTCATTTCCATATGTCTTACCAAATCTGTGGAAAATTAAGTATATTACGACATTCTTAAAAAAATTGCGACATTAAAATTAAAGTATCCAAAATATTCCTCATAGTTTCACTTGAACACTAAAATTAAGATAATTGTCCGGAAATATGGCTCCCATGTGTCAAAAACTATTTTGACGTATGATACTTAGCGCTAGGTTTCGACTTGGAATCACTTTAAACTACAGTGCAATAATCAGTCTATTAATTACAGATTGAACATAAGAATGACATAATTTGTTTAAAATATAATAAAAGTTATTTTAGTTTTATTAATGGACAATAGAACAAGTAATAAACTCGTTTGTTATATTTGACAAATTACATCTCATGTCAAAATTGTGAGAGACTAAGGCCGCTATTTCACCGGGATGCCATGGCGACTTCGCTGGCTATGTATCGAAACAATTTTTATTCAAATGTATGGCAGTAAACTCACTTCTGGTAGGTTCCAGAGAGGAAAAATAAAAGGTTTCAGAAAGGTGTTTGAGGCTATGGTCTTGGTTGCGCTACCAAAGTGAGTTAACTGCCATACATTTGAATAAAAATTGTTTGGATACGTCGCCATGGCATCCCGGTGAGTTAGTGGCCTAACTAATTATTCTATTATTATTTATAAACATTATGAGACAAAATAAATGGTCTACTAACATGTTACGCGACAATGTATGTTTTAGTTAACTTATAGCAAGGTAATAAACAATTTAAATTTTTTAAGCAAAAAGTTATGGTAAAGACGATGTAATGAACTCTTCTCTATACACTTATGACTTACCTAAACAGACACCCAGGAACATGGCCTGCGTAGTTTGGCAGCATACCGACGTGTTTGTGATAAATCTCCGTAGGATTTATGGATAGAGGAGGATCAGGTCTGGAAAGGACATAAGGAAGTATAAAAACAGACTACAAAAGTACTAAAGACGTTCTTATAAAAATAGGTTTAAAGTTCTGAACAAAATCTGTATCAAAGAGATTGCGGTGGTAAGAATTGAAAATAAAAGACAAAACAATGGTGGGTTTCATTCGATTCTGCATGGTCACATGAAACGAAACGTGCCATAGTTTTTACATTTTAATAATAAAACACTGGTTTATCCTTCAAGAAGTATGATGCGCCAGTCATACAAACAGGACTTTATGAATAAAAATCACTATTCTCGAATTTATTTAATACCATAAAATTACAACATTGAAAAGTAGACATCAATTTTATAATTCTAACACTATTTTTTTTTTGTCATTAGGTATGATAAACAATAGTCTACCAAAAATTTTAAAAAACTACGAAGATTTGCCGCGAATCGTTTGACATTGTCAAAACCATCTTAGTCCAATCACAGATACGCGGCCAAAAGTGTCAAAAGACAACTAAACGAAACTCATCGTAGTCTGTTTTACATTCCCACCGATTTTTATACATAAATATTATATTATAGGTCTTGAAAGGTGTCGTTTATTTCTTGAAGTTCGTGCAAATCATTTGAATAGAAATACTATTGAGGAATTTATAAATTTTATAAGGGTTAGTAATTTACATATATAACGCCTTTAGTACACCTACGCAATCGCATGCGGCAGCGAAACGACGAAAAAACTGTAAGTTGTATGGCAACGTTTCGCATGTGTTTTGTCTCACTCTATTATATAGCTAGATGAAATAGTTGCGTCCTTGTCGGTATTGTTTCGCAAGTAACTGCGAAATGGCTGTTACACAGACGCAGCCGTTTCGCTAGCGGAGTTTCGCATCGCAATGCGTCACCACGCGTTCTGTCAGTGAGGACAGAATTTCGCACAATGGAAGCCGAAAATATTGAATTATTATTAAATTTGATTCGAAATTATCCCAAATTATATTTAGTTGGGCATGTTAATTACAAAAATGCATACAAAAAAGAGGTGGCATGGAGAAAAATTCAAGAAAAGACGGGGATAGATGGTAAGAAATAAAGCTACAATGACATTTCCTTGCGAAAAAACTGCAGTGTACTAACGTTCCGCAGATATTTCGCTACCGCAATTATTTCGCAAAGATTCGCAGCCGCATACGAACGCGTAGGTGTACTAAAGGCGTAACACTATTGAGGCCATACAAATAGGAACATCAGAAATAGAAGTTTTTTTGAAGTTATACTTCTTTAGGCGCGTTATGAAAAATTTATCAGAGTGAAATTTTACGATGCGCGCGCACCTGTGACACAAAATTGGGAGTGTGATTATAGCGTGCGCGAGCGAGATAGGAATAAGACAATCTACAAGTAAAAAGAAATAGAATATGCGTGAAGTTCGTATGCCAAGAATTTTGAATGACCATAATGACATTTGTCATTTACCTTTTAAACAAATAAAGGAGTTTTGATTATTTTTTCAAAGAAATTTATTAATTTTATGTTGTGCAATACTGCCAAAGCAACAACATACTTCTTAGTGTTTGGTAGAGATGTTCTAAATATATAATAATATATAATTTTAACTAAATATAATTTATGTTACACTTAATGTAAGAGAATAATAATAAATAATTACATATTTATTTAATTTTTCAAATGTAAACTGAACTTAATTGACTATAATGACTCCTTTTCCAGTCTTTGATTATTTAATTGTAATTAATTATTTGCATGCAATCAAAAACTATTTTTAATAATGCCAAAGAAGTATAACTTCTTACGCGCGTACATAAGTACACGCACCCTTTTTTTTAATTGAGGCCAGCATACATATACACAATTTGTAAATTCTATAAATTGTATCGAAACGTACTTATTTATATATAAAACAAAATATAATTCGTACAAGCTTGCTTCAGGACAGTTTTTAAAGTATTTTTTTAATAAATAATTAAATTAAGTTTTTTAATCAAATGTTGCTTATGACATCAAAATCTACATTCATTGAAGTAACTAGAAGTTTTTTGTTAAGTTAAGGAAGGCTTAGTTGAACATTTAACACAACATCCAATACTATAGACATCAAAACATCAACTTTTTACGTCACATATTGATTAATATCATTACAGCTTTAAAATGAAATTACGCTTAAATCTGTTTTTTTTAAACATCAAACAATTCTTTGTTGGCTTGAGGTTAAAAATAATATTTTTTACATTTAAAACCGTATATATAGTGTGTATTTGGACCATCGTAACTAAAAGCCGGAGTATCATAGTTTAATCATAAAAATAAATATCTTATAAACTTTATTTCTTAACATCTTAATTACATCTGGAAATCATATTCGTCGAGAATAAAACAATTTATGCCAACATCTTGACCATATATGGTCCTTCTAGATGGTAACCGATCTTCGCATAATAGTTCCTGGTGCCTACTCCTGATATTACGGCCATTTTGTCTGATCCGTGTTCCTCTAAAGCAATCCTTTCCGCCTCCTCCATGAGGAGCATACCAAACCCTTGATGCTGAAACTTTGTTGGGTCGCGAGCATTTACCTGAAATTTTTTATAGATTAAAACAAAATAAGCAGTGGTTCACAAGTGTCACTTGAAACACAAACTAGACCTACTGGTTAAGGGAGCGTTCAAATATTACATCACGCAATTTTTGGAGATTATTGACCCCCCCCTAGTAACGCGCCGTAACGTTTTTCTGTACCCAAGTATAGTAAAACGTTTCGTGACCACCTAGTCTTTATACCTAAAAGTTACCATTATGTGCTGTAAAGTACTGGAAAGGCGAAAATAAAATTAGCAATAACGCGTAGATTAATAATAAGGCCCCCCCCAAATACGTTACGTAATACTTGAACGCTCCCGAAGACGATAACGTACGGGGAAAACCTGGATGAATGTAGCTCCAGACAAAGGGAAAGAGAAAAATATGAAGGAGGCTTTTATCCTAAAAGAGAAATACAAAACACTAACAAAACTAACAAAGTTTTAAAATCAAATTAATGATGAAATGATTAAATCTAAAGTCACATACCGGTACAACAGATCCGTAGACATGCAGTTCCCTAACAATACTGCACTGTGTGAAATTGGCATTCGGCCCTGGTTTGAGCTCAGGTCTATATGTGTCTTTCGCACATTTCCTCAGTCGAAGGAGACCAACTAGGATATCTTGATCGGAATCCTCATATGCGAGAAAGGTCTCCCATCCACCATTTGCAACATAATCACGACGTACCAGTTCCACCTGAAACAACAAATTATTTATTTAATTCACTAATGTACAATTTTAAAACATGAAAGCCACAAACATTCAACCATTACTATTTTCCTCTATACTCTATGCCAGGGGTCTCCAAACTTTCCAGCCATAGGGCCATACTGATTACTCCAGTAAGTTTCGAGGGCCAAAACCATATGTCGTTATGCTTGTTATAAGTTATGTTTTTATCACAAAAACAATAACAATAAGCCTACAACAATGTTATGAGTTAGCCCATGACCATGTCAATGTAGATGTCATATTAATAATAATTCAACATACAATTAGAATACTTCAGTAAACTAAATTTAATTTGCTATAAAAAATATGTTCTCTAAGAGGAGTTTTCAAGTATGCTGCTCTCCGCGGGCCGGACAAAATCTGTCCGTGGGCCAGATGTGGCCCTTGGGCCGTAGTTTGGACACCCCTACTCTATGGCATAATATTGGTTTTGTTTTTTTAGGGATGCATCCGATACCGATACTGATATATCGGCGATACTTTGGGTTTGCCGATATATCGGTATCGGCGATATTTTAATTGACGATACAACGATACTTTTCAAATTTCGCGCTTTAAAAAAAGTAATGTAAACGCGCATCTTGTTTGATCTGGGGCGTGGGAAACGAGGCACGAACTATCTATGCCCCTCACACCCGCTTAGTCTCCGCATATTCCATTTCGCTAGACACTTTAGTTGGTTTTTAACTGCTATCGCGCGTAGTATTTTTTCAATACCAAATTAAATAAAATACAGAATTACAAAAATCTTATCAATGTTAATTTTAATTATGAACAGTTATTTATTTTATTTTAATTTAACTAGTAATAGTTAAATTAAAATAAAATAAATAGTAAGAGTAATCTTAATTCTTAATTTTATTTACTAAACCTTTAATCTTATTCAAAGTTTGTGACTGTTTATATTTTATAATAAAAAAAAAAATTAAAAACTTTAACCAAACTTGATATATTTTACCTTAATTTAATTTGAATTCAATAAGCATTGGTATCGGAATCGGCGATATTTCTATAAGAGTATCGGTATCGGTATCGTATAGGCAAAAAGGCGTATCGATGCATCCCTAGTTTTTATAAACAAGAAATTTCTTGTTAACTAAATATAAAAATTGTTTAAATAATTATGTTGTTCAACCCACTGGCCTAGTCTTGTTTAGTAAGTAAATTGAATTTAAATATTTTTTACAATATAAGGCATCAAAAGCAGACGATAAATTTCAGCATCAAAGGAATCTTACCTGATATGGCCTGACTTTATTATGTATCTCCTGTATCCCCACCTCCCTGGTCCTAACATCCCTACAATCTGTACCCAAATCTGACATTCGCTGTAATGCAAGCTCTCGGAGATTACCATGCTCCACTCCCGATGACACCAGAGGCATTGGAATGTCTCTTTGTACCCTGAAATTATTTTTTAAATCATTAATTATTTACACAATAAGGGTTCTTAACACAGAACAAAATTTAGGATAATAGTATTGTCTTGTACTGCAATTGTGTATACTACAAATGATTGACAAGTGACAAGTGGCAAACAGTAGTTTTATGAGACGTTAAATTGTTTGTTTGGGGCATATGCTTTGTTTATGAATAATGGTTGCTATGAAGATTTTGTCAAAATCACACCATAAGCTTTCTTGTTATTTTTATATAACTCCTTACTAGAGAAATGAGTGCTTAAAAACTACCTGTAAACCCTAGTCCAGGGCGGAACCATAGCTAATATATTAGCTATCAAATCCACCAATGTAGATGGAGGATAACTCTTGTACCGCCCAGTTTTCCACAACTCATACAAGCCGGTGCCTCTAATGACCAAAGTGGGGTAAATCTTAAGACCATCAGCACGGAAGGCTGGGTTCTCAAAGAACTCTTTAAATTGTGCTTCATCACGTTCTAAATCCATATTCGGTAGGTCTGGCATCATGTGGGCTACAATCTGAAATTCGTAGGTATTTTCGTACATTTATATTGGAATAATTTAAAAATAAACAGGCACATTTGGATTATATTTTATAATGTATTTAATTTTTTTATTCATTTGTCATGTACTTTATTAGCATTGAAGAATAATTTTAGTTTAAAATTCTTAGTACAAGTTTCTGTAGCTCTAACATGAGTTTCCATATATTCAAAGACAAACCTTTATACTATTATTTGTTGATGTGGGAGTTTAATCATTTTCACCACCTATTAGAACTACTGTAACGCTGACAATATTGTATAAAACCCTTAGTAGTATAAATTATCTAACTTTAAATACCAGTCAACTGAATTGGAGAAAATTTTGTAAATCCAAACTACCTTAAACCCAGCATCCTTAGCCAAACAGAAGTTCTCACAAACAGCTTTGACGGTGTGGCCTCTATTTGTGTCTCTGGCTATGTCCTCATACACAGACTGAACTCCTATCTCTAGCCTGTACAGCCACAAATAAATTAAACTTACATATACAATATAATATGCATGTGTATAATACATTATTTTAATATTTTTGAATAATTTTGGCATAGAAGGAGGAGACTCAAGAAAAATGTTCCATTTTTATTTACACACCAATTAGTAAGAAAGATTCAGTGACCAGTTGAGTCTGGCCATCTAACAATAATTGTACTAGTAGAATAATTACCTAGTACAACCATAATTAAGCATGTCACTCATATGTCTTTGTAGGCAGTAATCAGGCCGAGTCTCAATAGTGATACCAATGCATTTAGTTTTTGCCTTTTCCGAATATTTCACAGCCTCTGCAACACTGCGTGAAGTGTGGCCAGACAGAGCATCATGAAGATTCCTAGAAATTAAGTTACATTAAACTTAGAAGAGGGAACAAACAACATTATTACAACTATTATAAAAGGAACTATTTCCATTTCTATAATATATCTATATTTAAATATAGTAATGTAAATGAGTTACAAACAAAGGTAAAGAATCTTACTTAGCAATAAACTATAAGTCACCATCTGCTTGTCCCATTAGAATTTTAGATATAACAAATTATGCTGGTACTTACCTAATGAAATAATCTCTGTAGTCTTCAGGAAGGCTCATAAAAGTTCCACCCATAACAATAAATTCGACTTTATCCACACTATGTCCCAGTTGTTTCAACTGCTCAACTCTATGACGAGTTTGTAAGTATGGATTATATCTTGCTCGAATTGCTCGCATAGATGTGGGCTCATAACCTGTGTAACTCTGAGTCGAATACTCAAAATCAGAATCAGGTCCTCCGGGGCAATAAACACAAATATTACCAGTAAAGTTAATATGTGGGCAACGATGAGGCTTACACATTACTGCTACTACTGCAATACCAGATGCCGTACGAATGGGCTTCGCTTTCAACTTTGGTAACAAATAACTCTTGGCATCTGATGGCACAGCTGCAATGATATCGACTAGCCGAGGTGATGTGTCCAGACCATACTTTGATGAAATCCTCGTTTTCATTTTATTGAGGTTAACATCTTTACCCTGGCGATGAGCTGCTTGCAATTCATGAATTATCTCCGATATTACCATGACCATCTTTTCCTCTTTTGAGAGTTCCGGCATAATCTTCTTTTTCGGCATTTTTAACTCGTTTAAAAATTTAACGCGTGTTTTAAGATTTCTTATTCTATCGCGTTAATGAGTAAGTGTTAACAAACAAAAATTAAAAACACAATAAGTCAAGAAACTGACAATTTACCAATACGATCACGGATCAATACTATATAGACCACAGAGTAAACTACTCTTCACTACTATTTAAGATAATAGTGCTAAAAAAATTCACAACAGACGTTGCTACGCAAATAAAACTATAATAAGTTTCATATAAAAATCTATTATGTATAATTCTTTAAGCATAATAGGAATTAATACATACTTGACGACGTTTACAGGCGCCCATTCTGTACTTTGACGTCGCCTGTAGTTAGATGAGAAATCGCACAAGGCAGAGTTTGTAACTTTCTTTGATGAGTCGCCAAACCGCTGGAAACCATATGGTACGTGACCAGCAAAACCTGAAATTCGAGACCTAACATTAACATAGCCGAATAAAAGACAGTGATAACATGTTGCTATATATATATATTATTAACTAACGAACAGATTCGGCTGGATTATAACCCCAAATTTGATTTCTAACAAATGATTGATGAATTTTTGCGTAAGACATTAGATAAAATTTATAATCGACTGATGAAAAAAATCATTTCCGTTTGCCAAAAAATGTCAAAACACCTGTCTCTATGACAAAACGTTTTAAGCACTAAGTATAACCTCATTGCTGTTGTGTTTTTTAAAACAAGTATGTATTTAGATGTAGGTCGCCTTGCTATTGTTTCTAATTCCAATATTTTTTTACACTCTTGACTTGCAAAGTAAATCTTGAACCACAACAGCTCACCTTTCTTTATATATTTCTGTGGATCTGAATCCTCCATGAAGTATGGACTGATTGAATGAGACGCCGGTGACAGTTTCGGTTCATCCATTGGCAGGTCTCGTAATATTCCCGCACATTCTGGCCTCACCACCACTAATGGTAACTTAAACTCCGCAGTCGCCGACTAGGAAGAGAAAATCCTTGGTAACAATTATATTTCTTCTAAGAAAACATCTCTTCCATAAACCAGTCATTCTTTTTCAATCACTTCTCCCATTCCTCCATTTTGTACCCAGTATAATAAACTCACAAATCGATCAACCAGGTTCCATGGTTGGCCTTTCCCTGCTTGCAAGTCCACGACTCTTTCAAGCTGGTTCCTGGCTGAGCGCTGGTTAAGCTGTAATTTTTGGAACTCCGACAAGGCCTCTGTGGCTGCTACGGTATACCGCTGTCCGAAGTGGGCGTTTAAACGTGGTAGGAAGCCTATTAAATTTGTTGATCATTAATACTTAATCACTGGATGCAAAAGCCTATGCTTTAGTCGTCACAATTTAAACACAAGAAGTAGGAATAGACTTGCTTTTCCAGCTTTCAGACTTCATAAAACTTCTCACTCATTTATGGAGAAATGTAAACAGATATAACAAAATTCCAGATCATGTCACCAAACTTCCGCTACATAAATTTAAACTTTACATCAAGAAAACCCTAATAATAAAAGCTAAAAAAAATAATACACTGCTCAAGAATACATAGATGATAACAATGTGTGGGCACTAATGCCGCTATAAGATAGTGAGATGGCGCAAATTGACATGCTTAAGGGTACAAATTGTATAGATAAATAAATGACTTTTGAATTTTAATATGCCAAGTCGATCAAAAGGCACACCTAACCATCTTTTCACAAATCCATCGGAGTCATAATAATTAAAGTTCAAGTCGGAATATCTTTGTTTAAGTCCGTTCTCTTTAAATAAAATTATCTATTGAAAATAAATTTATTAGGGTTGTTTAGGGTATAAAAACCAGTGTCACTACAACCTTTTAAGTCTGGGCCTCATATTTCTGTATGTTTCGTGATCTTTTCTTTTTAATAACCACCCTTCTGTGCCTGACATATAATATATATAATAATTATATAGTAATTTTTAGCAAGGCATGCTAGTTTCCTCTGCTTCACGTAATAGTACGAGAAAGTGTTAAATGCGCACTCAGAAAGAAGAATCCATTGCCGTGATTCGAACGCGCGCATTATGGTTCTGTTAGGGCTTCGAATTAAAATGCCTTTTTAAAAAAAGTATTTAATTAGAATAGTAGTTACTATTCAAAAATTTGACAACCGCTCTCTAAGAAAGATATACACAGACTGACTGAAGTCACTAGGAACCAGTGCTTCCAGATCCCAAAAGTAAAATTACAGTGTTGTCAGCTAAAAAATATAGTAGTTTCTTAAAACAATACAGCAGATTCCAAATTCGATTACAGTAAAATTACAGTAAAAGTTTGTTTAAATATTAAAAGAAAAATAAGATGCAGTATTAATTTATTTGTACATATAAGTAAGTTATTCTAAAATAATTTCCTCATGATTTTGATAAATTTTTGCATTCATCTTTAAAATCATTTCATTAGTGGGATTAAATTTGACGCAGTTTTCAGAATTTCGACGAATGGCTTGCTGAGCTAACATATTTCCTTTAATAGTATTTGTGATCAGACAGTTCCTCTGCTTGGTTTTTATATTATTAATTTCACTAAACTTGCGTTCGCACTCAGCGTTTGAGTGAGGCAAAGATAATACTTGCAGCATAAATCGAGGCAGCAAATGGAATTTAATGTCTCCATTGCTGTCTTTCATTTGAGATAACTGAAATAAAAAACAAATTTATGAAATGTGAACATAAATATGTGCAAATTTATGTAAATAGAGTTCTTATATAATTAAATTTTACCTGATGCCAAAATAAGTCTGCTGGTTGACTTGTATTCCAATGTATATCATTCGCAATAAAAATCAAGTTTCTCCATTCGTCATCTAACGTCTGTTGATCATTTAAAGTTGGGGGTATCAGCCTTGGTAACACTGGGTACAGTGAAGACAAAGACTGTTCTCTATTATCTGATAAGCAAGAATCAGGATTCAACTTTGCGATTGAGCTCAAAACTGGGTCATTTAAACTGTATCTTTTCCGAATGCCCACGCATGCTTTAACGATAAAGTTGAGGCATTTCTGTTTCATCACTGTAACTTCTTCGGTATGCGCATGTAGCTCTAGGACAGCAACTTGATTAGCAACACCCAATCCTAGGTATATATCTTCCAGATTTATGTAATGTTGACTATTAGTAGGGTCAATTGCGTCGAGTGGGGTGTTTTTAATATAATTTGGAGTTATGAATAACGATAACAGTTCTCTGTATAGCTCAGTCATTTTGTTATGGGCTTCAATAATAACGGGATCTTCACTTTGAAAGAATACGTTAACGCGGGTAAATTTTGGCAGCATCCAACATAAAAAATAAAAATATGCCTTGATGATGGGATCATTCAAAAGATTGTGAATGTCTTGGCAATCCTGTTCTTCTAGCCATTTATCGTCATAATATAATCGCAAGGCATCCCATTGCTCCATGATTCTGTTCACAACACTGGACAGCGACAACCAACGCGTTTGAGCTGGACGTAGAATTTTGTGAATATTAGTGTCCGTAAATACTTGAAATTCTTTTAGCTCTGCTTGACGTTTGTTACTATTTTTGAAATAATTGTAAATCAATCGAGTCAGTTTTTCTGCATCATGAGGCAATTCTTTACAAGCGTCTGAGGCACATAAATGTAAGGAATGGCATAGACATTTTAGCACGATAATACCTGGGCACAATTGTCTAAACCGTGAGGACACTGAATTACGACAGCCCATCATAGTATTACAGCCATCTGATCCAAATCCGATCATATTTTCTAAAGGTACATTTCCGTCTTGAAATGATTTTATTATTGAATTAAATAATTTTTCAGCCGTAGCTGAGTAATCACCAATCCGTCCAGCATTAGTATCATTAAACATTTGAATAAGATCCCAGAATCGACTTACTATTCGCCCTGAACTAAGATCATAATATTTGACTACAATACACATTGTTTTCACACTGGCAACATCGGTACTTTCATCTACCATTATAGAAAACTTTTCGCGTTTCAAATCTGCTACTAAACATTCTCTTTCAGAAGCTCCGATGACGTTGTTTACTACTGCTTGTAATTTAGTATGCTTAAGATTAATGTTACTTGCAATTTTAGAATCTGGGAAAATTTTTGGAAGTAAATCAACAAGATGGTCCATCACTATGTGGGATTCCGCAATTTTTCGTCGCTCATCATCACTTACACGTTGCTGACTCTTAAAAATATTATCAATGGTACGCACATACGATTGCCCAGGAAAACGAAGTTTATGTTTAGCACCTTCACCGTGTCTTTTAATAGCACCTAGATCGGCAGTTAATGAAGAATCGCAGACAGTGCAAAAACATTTATAAGCAGATTTTTTGTCAGGTTTTAGCCACTTATGAAAGTCTTGGATTTCAAGCCATTCCTCTCGAAATTGTTGCCGATATTTCTTTTTTGCACTTGACGGACCAGCAGCGCCACGAACATCACCTTCTTCACTACTTGAGCCCATTTTTACAATTATATAGTTTTTTTGTTTAATTTACGCTATCCACAAGAATTAAAAAGTCTTAATCTGAAATAAATGTATTTGCTCGGCGCTCGCTACAGTAGCAAAGCAATAAAACCATACCAATCAAAACGTAATGAATGAGATGGAAAATACAATGTTGCTATGTCAGACAGAGACGGTTAGTTTTTGCTAAGCGTTAGTTCTGATTCATTGGGGAATTCCCCGCACGTAAACTATAATATGTAGGTAACAATCCTACTCTACATTGTCTATAGATGAAGGTCAGTGGTTCTGGGTTCTAGATTAGGTTGCAAATTTATATTTCGTATTTTCTAATACGTAAAACGTATTAAATTTGATAATTTATATGAACGGAAATTAAATACAGTATTTTCATACACTGTATTTTATCATTACAGTATACAGTAGAAAAGTCTAAAATACAGTAAATCTACTGTAATTACAGTGAATCTGGAAGCGCTGCTAGGAACGTAATCCTCTAAAAGTCTGCATTGATGTTGCGGATGATGAGTTAGCATTATGGCTAACGATCTAGGGATGTAACTGGTCGCTAAAGCCAGTAGGCCAATACTATGTAAGACAACTTAAACTTAATGTGTTAAAAAGTTTTACAAATATTAGATGCAACAAAATTTAATATGTGTCATTAAGCACTAAAATTAAAATTATATTTCTTTCTCATTAGACCTAACAATAACGACTTTGTGGTCAATTGGGACACAATTTTTATTTGATCAATTGATTACACTTTGGACTACACAATTAATCATTGGTTCCTCTCAACACACCTCTGAATATGAATCACAATTACCAAGCGTGTGTTTGATTGAAGTACTTGTTCGTTATTTAATTTATCGAGAAAGGCACACACTCTACGATTTATAATATAACAAATACGAACGATACGATGACAGAAGCAACGTAGTAGACAAAAAAGCGATAAAACAGCCCCATTTGAAAAAGAAGAAAGTGCTGTCTCATCAAGATAATTCACCGTGTCACAAATCAATGAAAACAATGTCAAAATTCCAAGAATTGGGCTGCGAATTGCCTCCGCTTCCACCTCTCTCCAGATTTGGCGACTTTTCCAGTTCTCAGACCTAAAGAGAATGCTCGCTGGACAGATTTTGCGCTGATGAAAAGGTAATCGCCGAAACTGAAGCCTTTTTGGAAGCTTCAGACAAATCGTATTATAAAAATGGTACCGAAAAAGTGACCGCTACAATCGTATCGCTCTCGAAGGCCGTATTTATTTTATTTATTTATTTATTAACACTTCGTTGAATACTGAAATTTAATACAATTGACATAATCAAATGAAGAGGAGGGCAACCCTTATCGCTTTCGAGCGATCTCTTCCAGTTCCAGGCAACCACTGTGTGAAAAAAAGTTAGATAACGTAAGCAAGAAGTGAAGTGCAATACATAATGGAACAAAATAAAGCAATTAAATGTATGGAACAGTACAATATTAAAAAAAGAAAGAAAGGAGCACATGAATCACGATAGTTTAAGATCAGTTTCATATCAGAACGAAAGTAAGGTATACGATGTGTGTACAGTAGAGATTTAAAGGAAGATAGAGAAGGAGCTAAGCGAATAGGGACGGGAAGTGAATTACAGAGACTCACTGCAGAGACCTCAGAGGATTCGCCAAGTAATGAAGAGTTATGAGATGGGATTTCAAGGATATAGTTTTCGAAAGAGCGTAAGCAATAAAGTCAAAATCATTTATTCATATAGGTAACACAATGTACACTTATGAACGTCAAAAAATATATATATGAAATGCTTCTAATTGGTATGTTTACAACACCCAAATACGTATTCGAAATAACTAACATCACCGCATACATGAATTTAAGTACTACCAATCACCACAAGTAGCACCCGTTCACGAGTACGACGCATGGCCAGCGGCGCCCTCGCCATATTTTAGGGAGAGAGACATAATAGCTATAGGCTTCAAAAAATTTGAAATCGTTTTTGATATAGGAAGTAGAATTAAATAATCATATCAAATTCTATCACAAACAATTTTCAACCTGCCTATTATCCAACAAAAACGTCCAAATATATTGGGCAATATGCCCTTGAACGCTTAAGACTTAAAAACTCCTTTAGATGTTATTGCAAGCAATCAAATCAAGTAGGTTCTAGTTGCTTGGGAATGTGCTCACAATAATTGCAAATGAAGTGATTCCCGTTAGCTCAATCTGATATCCAGGCACAGTTCTGTCAGATGTAGCTTCCTCTGAAGATAATTAGATTGGCCCCGTCAGATTTATAACTGGGAATTTCTTATAGCTTCATTTGAACACGTTCAATTAATCGTTGAGGTTTATTATATACAGTGGCCGGTTTTTACTTAGATGTTGTGTATAAGTTAAATAACTGTTGGACGTATATGATATCTTTAAAATAAATAAGTTACTAATCAATAGTTAAGTTTTTCTATATTTTAGTACATATTAAAAACATTGAATTTAAAATTGAATAACTTTTTTTAAATGCTTTTTTATTGTAAATATAACTGTTTTGCGAGGGAATTTATTTTATTAACATATTTTGTTTAGACATATTCCTATATCTGCAGCTTTCACCATCGGACGTCAAGGCAGAATACGAAATTCCACCCGTATCACCTCGACACCACAACTGAGCGTTTTTCAAGGCAGTTTTGCCGCGCACCACCTCTACGTTGAACCAGCTGCCCACTGAAGTATTTCCGAACCAATTCGACTTAGGATCCTTCAAGAAAAGAACGTACCAATTCTTAAAAGGCGAGAGGCGGTGTCCTATTCTGTAAAGTAGAGCGACTGTTCTATAAAAAAAAGATTCACTCACCTTCATATCCCGGTATCATCGGGTGCTTATAAACCGGATCACCATTCCGAAACCGAGCGTTGACTACATCAATAGCTTGTTGTGGTGGACGAAATATCTGAAATACATTGGCTCTGAGACAAAATTCACTACTTAATACTAAAATGTTTATAAAGTGTAGGTAGTACGCGCAATAATACATATCACGACCCTAAATACGAATTTATAATTAATTATTCCGTACACAACGAAAAAAGAACCTCTTTTAAAGTGAGTAATGTTTTTATAACATTGGTGCTATACTAATATGATAAAAAGGAATGATTTCTTTCCCTGAATTGTATGTATCCGTTGAATCATACCTGGAAGTCATCTGCCGTTCTGTCAGACAGCACCAGCCTCTCCGAGTGATTGACACTGGGGTCCAGCAGGATCTTATGCGTGGTCGAGCCATATGTATCGCCGATTCGGTATTTGTATTCGGGACAGTGACCGGTGTATCTGACGAAATATCATTAATGCAACGAAAGATACGTAAATAATTTACTAATCATTTTTTAAATGGGTAGTTTAGGGTGCGTTAGCTAGATTGTTATTTAATTCGGGATTCACTTTAACTGACGTGGAATTTCGAGTTTAAATATTACAAATTAGGCCTAGGACGTTAGCTGGTGCAGGGTTGGCCGTGCTTGAGCTTGTGGCAGATGACTCTCATCTGTGAGTATGACTTTTCATTCTTATCTTGCATTTAACACTCGCTCGAAAGTCGAAGGACTTATGGTGAGGAAACCATGTTTTAGACCCAAAAGTCGACAGCCTACTTGCGAACTAAAAAATGATTACGAAACAGATACAAAAATAGCAAGTGGCGCCACATTTTTTTTTTCTATATAGGTCTACTTGTACACCTAAAGAAATTGGGGCACAGTACAAATTATAAATTATCTATGGTTTCAAACCTTACTTTTTACCTAGACGGGTGAAATTTCAAAAATTTCAAGATGATTATAAACTGTATTAACTCGCTGTTTCACCTGCTTTGATTTGGCTATAGGGAGTTATCAGAAGTACAGAAATAAGAAACAAAACAAAAGTTATTGAAGCACTATCCCATTCCAAAAATCTTAAGTGGAAATAGGCGGGCCATACCGCTCGCGTGAACAATCACAAATGGACAAAGAGGGTAACAAAATGGAAAATATCACCAGGAAAAAGAAAGAGAGGTTGCACGGTGGGCTGACGAGCTTAGGAAGTTGGTGAAGAAGTTTGGGAGAAAAATACACAAGACGCAATGAGGTCCTTGGAAAAAAATTTTTTTAAGTGTGTGTATATTTTGTAAATGTTTCAAGCAATGAGGTTTAATTATTATTGGGTGTTTCACCATCGATTAATGCACTATCCAACACAAAAAGAACGTTTTAATTATAATATATAGTTCTTTAGACAAGATTTTAAAACATATAAATGTGAATAAATAAATAAACATGTAAGCAATTGTTCCTATTATAGTCAAATCAAGTTTTCTACTTTGTTCATCAAACAAACTTTAGTTTTATATTGATAAGATATACCCAGGAATATAATGTGGTTGTGCGATGCTGACCAAATCCAGAGCCATATTGTTAATTTATTTTATGCCAAAATATCACGCATAATTTAATAAGACACCTTTAATTTTGTCCGTTTACCACATTTATAACGATCTGTTTGTTTTATGGTGTTGTGTCGACATTTAGAATTTGACCGAGGATTTGACATTTCGCGATGTCTTTGTAGACTACTTTCTTTTTAATTTGATGGCTGCCTGCTGCTAAATGTTTTTCGCTTATCAATAAATATATAATAAAATAACGTGGGTTTATTATTAAAAATATTGATTGTGAGTATTTGAGCAATTGTAACGCGTAATGGTTTTGGATTTTTTATGCATAATAATTTAATGTTGTCGTATTTGACGTGGAAAAGTGACAGCTGTCAAAGTCGAGGTTCGAATGCATGACCTCAGGGTATAGGACCACTTGCTTAATTAATAATAAAATTTGGGTGGTAATATAACAATATTGAAGTGAAAACTTCTTTAGCGGCGCTGAGCACTTTTTGTATGGGTAAAAACTTTCAAACTTGCGTCAGGGTCACGTGATGCTGATCGAAAAAGCGTAAGATCGAGGGGAAGTAAAAGTCGTCGAAATTATGGATGGAAGTTGATTTTTCTGAGAGATAAAATTTAATGTAATATATAAATAACAATATAATATTATAAATAACAACATATAAATTGTCATATTTGTGTACGATAGCGCAATAAATAAACATTGTATTCTACCTCATAAATGATAGTACTTTTATACTTATAATTAAACACAACGTTAATATTGTGTTCACTTCTGCCAGCACTCCCGGAGTGCTCCCGTTGTTTTTTTTATTTATAGCAGTTACCTCTACTTTAATCGTATGAATTGATGTTTTTAGTTGGATCGCCATAATACTATTCAGCAAAAAACAATATACTTAATAAGGAATTACATATAAAATTATATTACATAGATATGACGGATATAATATATCTAATATACTGCGTTAATCTGCAGTTTGTCTTGTTGATAGGAAAAACGTAAACGTTGTGTGTTAAAAAATCACTTAAAATTTTGGAATTCCATTTATAATAATATATAAAAATTCAAGGAGTGCCATCTGCTTTCACCACTAAGAAGTATTAAGCATTATAATGTAACTATGTTGAATAAACATCATAAACTTTGAACTTGCAACGAGTGCACGTGCTACTTTATTTGGTAGGATTAAAGTTTGTGCAGTTTGTACAGTGCCTGCGAGACCGCCATTTTGAATTTGACATTCTTGTTTTGCCCGTTGAGCGTATCGGATGTGTGTTTATTGGTGACGCATGCGTGAAGTGACAGTCAGTGTCGATAAAATCTTAACTCTCAGAAACTTTCTGTTAAGTTTACTAACAAAGCTAATTCGTGAAATCATCATTATTCTGGTGCGGTATATAGGTTTTTATTTGAATTTACAGATATTTTACATTCGAAGTGAGCCGCGGCTTCAAATATGAGCATTCCAAAGCGAATGTTGAACTGTGTTTTTTTTTAGTCAGTGATTGTTTTCGATACTTTTTAAATTCTATAAAGATTAATCCTATGGATACTGGACTCATTAAACCCCTACAATATAGTGATAAACTTTGTTTTACGTTTGCTTCGTTGTGATTTTCTTTCGACTATTGCCGAAATAGTCAAGGTAAGAAATTTTAATTAATATTTTTGCAGGATACGTCACTTTTTTTTAAATTTTAGATATCATAAATATTCAGGGCCTTAAATATAACGCGTTGTTATTTTTAAAACCTATTACTTACCTAAGAATACTATTTTTTACTACTAGGTATAGTATAAAAATTCCTTCTTTTTACGTTTTTATACGTTTCAATTATGAATAAATAAATTTTTTGAAATAAAATTTCAAATGAAATATTTATAAGATAAAAAAATATTCTTAGAGGCATAATAAATTGGAAAATTATTTGAATTCACCAAGCTATTTTTCGTTTTTTGGTTGGTTGTGTGACCAATTTTATAATTTGGTTTAAATACCACCGCACTTTTTTGACGATACTAATTATCTAGGAGTGTCCGGGGACCTTCATTGGAACACCTCCAAGTGAGTTTTGCTCCGGAAACGCGTCTAAATATTTTTATAAAAAATTTAAAGTTTTGTGTAATGTATTAAAATTTGTAAACAATCCGCCATTTTCTACTTTTCTATTGGTTATAAGTGATGTGACGTTCACTTAAAAAAATCGTGTTTTTAATTTATCGATTGTTAATAATCGTTTTATTTATTTATCGATTATTTCCTCATTTTTGAAATTTAAAGTTATAGAATAATCAACATTGAAATTAACCTAATTTCGTGTTGATAGATTATAGGGTTCCGAAATTTTTTGAAATTATCGATACCTACTAGTCTGTATTTTCTAATTAGTACTTGTATTTCATTGTTTGCAACTTTCTATATTATTAAATTTTTACTAGAATAAAGTGTTTACTTTAATATCCAAAAAGTACCCAAAACCGAATCAGAGCACCCCACTATCCACGTGGTCTTGTCTGTCTTACCCCTAGAGTGTATATAAATAATCGGAGGCGCGGAGGAAGAGCAGCCCCCACCCGCTGTAACAAAGCACAGGCATTATGAAAGCTGTAGCGGCTGAGGCTGGTCGCCGAAGGCGACCAAAAAGCCGAGGTTGCGGAGGCTTGAATAAAATGCCTGTGCTTTGGTACGCAAGGGTGGAGGGGCTGCATTTCCCGTAGCGCCGGAGCTGTCCACAAAAACAAATATTATTTAGATTGGTTAGGTTAGAGTTAGTATATGAATATTTGGTCGCCGAGAAGCCGAGGCTTGAATAAACAATTACTATTTAGATCGGAGCTGTCCACAAAAAAAAATATTATTTAGATTGGTTAGGTTAGAGTTAGTATATGAATATTTGGTCGCCGAAGGCGACCAGGACGCCGAGAAGCCGAGGCTTGAATAAACAATTACTATTTAGATCGGAGCTGTCCACAAAAACAAATATTATTTAGATTGGTTAGGTTAGAGTTAGTATATGAATATTTGGTCGCCGAAGGCGACCAGGACGCCGAGAAGCCGAGGCTTGAATAAACAATTACTATTTAGATCGGAGCTGTCCACAAAAAAAAATATTATTTAGATTGGTTAGGTTAGAGTTAGTATATGAATATTTGGTCGCCGAAGGCGACCAGGACGCCGAGAAGCCGAGGCTTGAATAAACAATTACTATTTAGATCGGAGCTGTCCACAAAAACAAATATTATTTAGATTGGTTAGGTTAGAGTTAGTATATGAATATTTGGTCGCCGAATTTTCAATTATTTTTAATATTAAAATCGAATACAAAAATCGATTTTCACTTTTAAAAAAATCGATTATTTTTCACATCCCTATTAATTTTATAAACTTAATCGGCCATTTTGAATGTGGTTTATGCTAGACTAGCGGTAATTAGTTTTACAGTGCAAAGTTTACTTTATAAATCTTTATAAAATTTTTGACGCGTTTCCGGAGCAAAACTCACTTGGAGGTGTTCCAATGAAGGTCCTCCGAGACTCCTAAATAATTAGTATCGTCAAAAAAGTGCGATGGTATTCAAAACTGTGACCAATTTTATAATTTGGTTTAAAATATAAGGTAAAATAATTAGGTATTGTTTCTGCCAATTATAGCCTAAACAATTTTAAATGATATTTTCCCTTGTGTGAAAATAGAAATATTTTGTGGTTATATCATTCTTTATTCTGCATCAAAGCTCAATGAATACTGTCCAAGTGACTTGTTTTGTGGCTTAACAAGTTAAAAGCGTGTTGTTAAACTAAGTTTATACAATATAAATGCTGATTACTAGCTAGTATCAGATTTTATTATTTAAATTTGATAATTAAAAATCAATCATCTTTTCTAGATATTTCTATACAAAGATAATAAAGCAGGTGCACTTTTTATTTTAAAATTATTTGTACATAATTTGTGTATATATAATAATAATATAATCTAGTGTTAGTTTGGATTAGAAGATTTCAAAGAGTAAAATATTCGCACTACAAAAACCTATCATCGTATAAGATCTCTACACCTGATAATAGATAACATACAAATAGGTTTGTCTAGAGCTTATCCAGAAAAAACATGATTATCTTTCATTGTCTTTCAATCTTTATGAAATTATAATTATCAGTGCAATATCTAATTATAGTTAACAACTTACGAAATTAAATATTACGGTTAAACAAGTAAGACGAACTCAATGAAATTAAAATCTATTAAAAACCACAGAAAAACTATTAGTGACAGATAAAAAATAATACACCGCTAAATTAAATCTGTAGAAAACATTTAAAATCCAACGTTCGATTTTCAAATGAATTGATTTCTAACATCGCGACTCTACCGTACAGCACAAAATCGCATTAGTGTTGGTCTCAACCGGTTCGAAGAGTTCAAAAAAGGCCCGCAGCCGTTGAATTTCGAGGTCGCAACCCAATTGGGGTCCGCACTTTGTAGTACACTTTCTCCGAGAATGACGCGCCCAGACTTTTCACCACTCAGTCTACAGGTGCAAGCTGGGGTGACAAATCATGTAGGCATGCTAAATTTCGCAAATGTAAAACGAATCTTATAAACGAGTTGAATACAAACGTACATTATCTATTATGGCTGTGATGTCAAATTGTTAATTATGTTATCCTATTGAAATGTTACCTCCTAACTTTCTTCATATAATAATATAGAACATAGAACAGGATGATTACATATACTGCTGTATATGCAGTAAAGAACCAACAGTAATAGCTATCTCGTGGATTTCTAAACTCAGATGGGAAAGACGAGGACTACGACACGTTGTATTTACGATTAGTAGCTCACAATCGTTTAGGTACTCTTAGTTCCTTAAACAGGTTGTTTGGATATAGGTACAGGCGTAAAAATAACAATTTGTTGTCTAACCTAATGTCCTAAAGAAATCGTGGGAAATGGGTTGAATACGTTTACAATGCTCAAACAAATTCATTTGTTTACAAG